CATAATAACATTCATAACAATGCCAATAAAATAAATAACGGTTACTTAATGTCTACATAATTTACCAAATGAAAATTTACATTATTTTTGTACATAATTTTAAAATATTTTCCACTGTAGAAAGTCAAGTAGTTATTTTATTTACATTAGAGATTTTTTTTAGGAAGGCAGAGTATTTGAAATAAACTGTAGGTGCATTCTTATACACCACACAGAATTTGTTTCTGTAAAAAAATGCTTAATTATGGTAGAGTCTGAAATTTTTTTATTAAATTTCAATAAACGACAAAATAAAAACCAAATAATTAATCGGAGTAATATACACTTTCTGCAAACATTATTTAGTGACATAAATCAAAAGCTCAGTATTCTTCTTGAAGGTACAACCGAAAGCATACATACATCAACTTATCAAAATACATTAGTGAAGGCATGAAATTTATTTGGTTGTTACTCAACCCACAATTAGTAGCTAATACCAAACGAACACTAATAAAAAACACGATCAAAAACAACGATGGCTTTTTGAAAGTTTGTCTTCGATCGTTGCATATTCAACCCAAATGTTCAAATTAAGGCTAATCTGACAAGACAAAAATTCTATCAAAGGCAAATCTTCAAAAATCCATTGCTATCTTTGATCATATTTTTATTATTCTCTAGATTTCCAACAAGGGCACCACAAAGTACAAAAAACAGACAGATTAAATTAACGTTGTTTTTGATCATGTTTGACTATGTTTCAGACATTTGTTGCACTACATGTTATATATTTTCTTGTTTTTACACATTTTGTTGTGACAACGTTTCGAATTATTTTAGAATCTTAATTTAGCTATTCGTTCTATTGCCCCATTTATTACAGTTTTGTGTTTTTTTTTTTGTTTTGAAATTTGTTAATGCAAACTTACAATTTTCAAAATAGTTACATATTATGTGAAGAGTATTTTTGCTATATTACAAAAAATGCATGGCAGTAATTATTCTAAAATTCGCCTTCACAAATTCTGTTTTCTTTTTACATCATCTAAACTGTTTAAGCATACTTAACATAACCTGAAAATTTAAGAAACGTATTCCTATATTTCATTTACTCGGTTTATGTTTAAAGCACAAATCTAAATACTTCAGTTATATCTACATTATCTTTTAGTTCCCGAACGTAAGCCAAAAAAGCATTGTAATAAGGTCCATCCGGCGAATGATTATTTTCATGGCCCTCGATGTTTCATGGCCCTTAGAGTATGAAACAATAGATCTCCTGTTTCCATCTGCCTGCCTGTCGTCTGTGTTGATCGTTATTAAACAGATAATCTCCAAAACAACTGGACCGATTGTTGTTGAATTTTAGATGCATATTATGAATATCGTGTACATCATAAAACGTTAACCAAAATTTATTCTTTTGTACTTCTGGTTTATGAATGTGCCTCGATTTTCTTTAGTATTATCATAATTTTTATTATTTAATCCTTCTGTGTCTGGTAAGACCTTGGGTTCAATCTCCATCCCACATTTCGATTTTTTTTATTGATCAATTGAGAATACAGTCATGTTGCACCGGCATATATTTAAAAATAATATGATAATTATGTACCTGCTTAATAGAAGAACTCTTTCTGTGTATAAATATAATAAACATAAACAGTGGAAGTTATGTATGGGGGGGGGGGCATTTTTCTGGTTGACAGCATTAATTTCACGAAAATCAAATTTTGATAGAGATAATGAGATCCACTAATATAAAGCCCTTTTAATTATCATCTGTTCACCGGAACTCGTACATTTTAAATAGCTGCCATCATTTTCTACACTGTAGCTTTCTGTCAGTATTGTTAAAGATAGTTCTCGACAACATTTATTGCCACTCACCTCAAAAAAAAAGATTGGGTATTATAACTACAAGGGCTTACATTTTGCCGTTTTTTCTTAATACGTTTAGTATACTTTTCTTTTCACAACAAGAAAGGTAAAATATGTTTAAAATAGTAATTTTTTGAAGGAAAGCATCGATTTTGCATTTAGAATCCGCCCATCGGTCTGACAATGAATCAAAAATTCATCACGATTGAGATCGAGACGGATGGGAGGGGCTTCTCTTTTGGTTTTCTTTTTTAATTAATACATTTAGTTTTCTTTGTATAACACGATTACTTAAGAACATATTTCACATGGTAATTTCTCGTAGAAAAATAAGGATTTTACAACTAAGCTCCGCCCCTCGGTTCACGGCGAATAAAAAAAAATCATCAGAATTGAGATAGGGCGGATGGGCGGGGCTTCTATTTTGCTTTTTTTTTCTTAATATAGGTACATAGCCATCTTTTCACAACAAGAAACTTAAAACATGGTTAAATTGGTTCATTTTTGCAAGGAAATAGGGATTTTGCAATTATTATGGGGCGGAGCCTAATTGCAAAATCGATATTTCCTTAAATAAATTTTTCATTTTAAACATGTTTTAAGTTTCTTGTTGTGAAAAGAAGTCTATACATATTAAAACAAGAAGGCAAAATGTAAGCCCGCCCACCCGCCCTGTCTCAATTGTGATGATTTTTTTTATTCACCGAGACCCAAGGGAGCGAAGCTTAACTGCAAAGTATTTATTTTTTTACAAGAAATTATATACATGTTTTTGAGTATCGTGTTGTTAAAAAAATATAATGTATATTAAGAAAAAAAGGCAAAATAGTACCCCCGCCCACCCACCCCATCTCAATTATGATGATTTTTTTTATTCTTAGAAACCTAAAACACGTTTAAAATGGTAAATTTTTGTAAGGATTTTGCAATTAGGCTCTACCCCTAGGTCTGCCAACGAATGAAAACTTCATTATTATTTAGATCAGGGAAGGTATGGGTGGAGCTTAATTTTTGCCTTTAATTTTTTTTTAATATATATAGTATTCATTGAACAACACGATACTCAAAAACATGTTTTTAATTTCTCGTAGGGAAATAAGAATTTCACAATTAAGCTCCGCCCAATTTGGCTCACGACGAATAAAAAAAATCATCACAATTGAGATAGGGCGGGTGGGCGGGGCTACATTTTGCCTTTTTTTCTTAATATGTGTAGACTTACTTCGACAATAAGGAACTTAAAACACGTCTAACATTTTTGTAGTAATCAACTTAAATCCTCCATTTTTCTGTTACAACACCTTTAAATACGACAAAAGTTGAACATCAAAGTTATTCACAACGGCAATTTTCAGCTATAAAATCAACGTCAGCTAGAACAACAACTGCAACGGGAACTTCAACGTCAACAGCGAGTTTATAAATCCCACTTAATACTCCACACATATATTTATTTTAATTTATAGAGTTTATCATCAAAAATTGAAATAAAATTTCCAAAATTAAATATTATAATTATCCGAAGAAGATGTACTTCAGGGGCGAGAGAAGAAGTTCTTTCAAAATAACTATAGACCAATTTTTCTCAGGTGAAAACTATATAAAATTATAGAACATAAGAGTTAGGTTGAGATATGATCATGATCATATTTTGAATAAAATATACAAAATATGTGTATAACATACTACTGAGTTAAAAAATTTACACGACTATCCCATGCCCAACGTGTCGGACGGTGTATGAAATTTGTCCTTATTCTCCGAGTGTAACGTTACCTTCAAGCTTTCTCGACGTTTCATGACCCCAAGAGTACAAAAAAAAGATCTAGCGTTTCCGTTTGTCTGTCGTCTATCTATGTCAATTTTTAGTAGACAAATAATCTCCGAAGCTACTGGACCGATTGTCGTAGAATTTTATACGCATGTTAGGAATATGGTAGATGCTAAAACGCTAACTAAAATTTGTCTAATTATCCCCACCAACAATGAGATGACATCTTTCCAAAATTCACTATAGTAAATGTTACTTAAATTTTATAGAATAAGACATTCGTGCACTTGTGGTTTATGAATCCGTGTTGTACTTTTAAATCTCCATAAAAAGCTAGATTCCTCAAACAAAAATAAAAAATCACTTTAATTCTCCCGAGTCATAGATATATCAATGACTAAAATTTTGTTAAAAACCAATCTCTTTTGTATTGAAATATATAAAAAATTACAGTTCTTCGAAGAACAATACCTTCTTTCTTAAAACCAAATATGTTACAATGCATTCTTTCTTACATAATTTGGTTTAGCATACAGTAATAAATATTACCGCACTAAAATCTCAAGTCATGCTGGTTAAACGATCTGAAAATATTTGTAGCTGTTGGCGCTCTTGTAATTAATTGAAGTAACTGTAAAACAAGGATTCTTTTTTTTTCTGGGATCCCGAAATGAGGTTTAAAGGTCAAATACTGACTTTTATTGATCTATTCTTAAAATCAAAAATAATGAGTAAGGAAAATTTGTTCGATAAATAAATTCAATTATGTATAATATATAATAAATATAAAAAATAATAATAATAAAAATGTGCCGGTACTTTACTCAAACGGTAGTACTAATGAGTAAATTACAGTGCCCCAAAGCGTAAAGAAAGTGGTCTAGTGGAAGCTTCCCACAAAAATAAACTTTAGTCCGGTTTTTTATACCGAACTATTTATGTATGTATTATCAACTACCAAAAAGGGGGACAAGCACTGATACACGTCTAGACATTTTTGACCCTCGCAGTTACAAAACACCAACAAATGACACTGCAAAACCCTATCATTAAGCCCACAATGAATACTAAATTTCTCACATTTTTCTCTCACAGTTGCATGTACTATATGCATTTTAGCGATTTGTTCTTCGGATACAATGGAAAATTACAGCATCTAAACAACATTGTACAGATAGACATAAATGAAAATTTCAAAGGTATTAATATTCACACAATGACATAAACAATTCCAAAATAATTGGCAAATACAACGGTTACTTGGTCATGTATACTTACTTCAATAATACTAATAGATTCCTGCCCCCCTTTAACCAGCGTAAGTTATAAAGACAAGTGCTCCACTCTACCTGAAGACATTATTACTGTTAACTCTCACTGTTGAACGGTTTCAGTGGTTTCATTCACGAGAACGTGATTACGTTTACTTTCAGTTCAGTGCAGTTTGGATTTAGAGCTTTACCAGAATGCGGCTTCGAGTCTCTGTAAGTATCAAGTGCAACTACTTTTTTTTTATTTTGAAAAAAATCGGTACATACAAGTCATTCGGTTGTATTTACGCTCGAATTGGTAGAAATAATTAAGGTTTTTTTCGAAAATTGAGTGTTATTTTGTTAGCGTATAATTTCAAAATTAAGAAAGTTGGAACAATTCACTTAACCCCACCTACTATTATATCTAATTCATTTTTATAGTTTACTGTGTTATATAAAGTTTTATTTGACAATAAGATAGTGTTTTTCACTGAATGATTTTATTTTGCGTTTGAATGAGTGATTCTGAAAAAATTTTTCAGTTGAAAGATCTGTGTTTATGTACATAAATTTTGTTTTATAAGTGAAGGATCTGTATTTATCTACATGCACTGAAACTAGATATTTTTATTAAAATTATTGTGTAAAGTTATTGTGCAATAATGCCGCGATATTTGGTAGTCATTCATCATAAATCGTGGGTCATTAATCGGTATTAATGACCGCATATAACTGTCAAAGTTTCTACATTTATTAGAGAAATGGAAACATTTCGCATAAATATCAGCAATAATTTTTAATTTCAACATAAATTTCGTGAAATGGGAAGAGAGTGTGAATCCTAGTAATTAATTTTATCAAAACTATTAATTACGGCTAACAGGTTCATAGATAACTAGTTGTTGATAATGATAACTAATAGTCTTGTAGACAAAACATAGACGTGACCATGCAATCTTCTAAATTACTTTTACTTTCAGTTCGTGATACAATGAGTGTATTTATCTATTGCCAAGCAAAAATTCGTTCAAACAAGCAGAAAAATAATTGTACCTTTGTAATACAAACTTTCACCCTTTATTAGAGACGCTTGTAGTTTTTCTAATTAGTTTCATTAATTGCAGCCTATTGTAAAATTGGCTAAAGTTTATTTATGATATCCAAAATTTACAAATTTTATTACATTGACTTTTAAATTTTAGTCAAGGTTTGTCGTTTTAATACCATGTATCTGTCTAAGATTTGTAAACCAACCCACACCTATTGTTTATTTAGTGATTTACCTAAAGAAGATAATTTTGTAATTCCATTGTGTGTAATTCACAATCCTGCTTAGTTCTTTCCTACTTGTTGTGCAAGAATATACTCACATTTTTAAAACAATAATCGACTTAGTCTTAAAAACAAAGATGCTTGTTGCTAAAAATGAAAGTTTTAACCTTAAACGGCTAAGATAATATTCTTTAAACACTGAAGAATTAAATCTGATTAAATTACATACATTTAATTAGTCTCATATAAATGTAAAATTAATTTGACCGCCATAAAATTCTTGCTTCCGAAGGTCTCCAAGGTAAAATAATTTCGAGTTGGTTATATAACTCTTCGACTTGTGATTTATTAATTTATAACAAATATGTCAATGTTAACTTTACTTGAAACTGAAAACATGTTACTCTACGTGTAAATGCTGTTTCCATTGCAGAATATCAGCAAGAAATATCAACTTTAACATTCCAAAAAGATTAATTGTAGATTTTATTGTGGGATTAGTTCAAAAGTTTTAATACGTTTTAAATATTTATAGAAATCGTATCTATAAAATTTTAGTGTTTTTTTTTTAATTTGAATAAGTATTTAATTTACTACTTAAGGCTAGTAAAAAATGTACATTTGACTACTTTTTTCAGTTGTCCACTAGCTGCGACAAAGCTATAAAGCAACAGTGAAAGCGATAATTTACATTCATTCTTAAATGTATTGTTCTTAACTAATCTTAGTAATGTCAAGGTTACGGCTGCTTTCCATAAACGAAAAAACAAATCGTGTAGATAACAAAATTAAATTAAATAAAAAAAAAACAAAAATTTACAAGTATGATACCTGATGACTATAAGAATAACAGGTCTTCATCTATAGTCATTTAAAATTACTATATCAAGGTCGACTGGAATATTATTGATACTGTTATAACACGAGCGTTTATCATCGCATTCAAATCATTGTATTCCGATGAATCAATGTTTTGAAAGAAACGACAATCCATTATTAATTTAATTGTTACAGGTGATTATTTGAAAGTAAAATTTGCTTCCTACCTTCCTAGACGTTGCAAGCAAGTAGGTCATTTTGATTTTTTTGATGTTTAGAAAGGACTTAAATATTTCCTTACAAACTTAAAACAAATTGCTTTCATTAGGACTTAATCAGACTTATCAAGTTTTTCGCCTTTCATAGCACGGTATTTCACACTTAATGATCATAATTATACGATATTTGTAACGAAAGGTTCATTAATTAACGAATTTCTTGTTACGGTGTTGATAGCCCATCTATTATTAACCATTTACTAGAATAAAGCATTTCACTTCTGGTTCCGTTTCATTTAAGGAACTGCGTTATATCAAACCTGCTGATTGTTATGCCTGAAAAAACTGTGTTAATTTTACCAATTAAAAAAAAGCTAGACTCGAGCTTTATTAAATAACTATTCTAATTTATGCTAATTCTTATTATTTAATGCCTACCAACCGAATATATTTTACAGAAAAGATAAACATTTCTGCCTGATTGACAAGTCGATAAACTTTATTTTCACTAGCCACATAAATGTAGAAAAATATAAATTTCCATATGAGAAATTCCGGTTTACATCACCTCGTCAGAAAAAAAAATCACCTGCAACAAACTCTTTTTAACGAGCTGCGAGATTTGCAACAGTGACTAAATACAAAGAAACTCAAGCTGGATACTCACGACAATGCAAAACGATATTGTTGCTGCAAATCATTTACGAAATTTATAGTTATGCAAATAATTGTCATGTACTGTTTACCGTCAAATCAAAACGTTTTTACAATAATTACAAACTCAATGACGTGGTTACTGTCAAGTTTACAATGTATCTTTTCCGTTTAAATGCAACCACTAATTTTTCACTATTGACAGTTATGAGAACCGTGTCAATCCATTACATAAATAAACCTCTAGCTTCTGGCAAAGGTGATAAAATCATTTAAGAAACATGAAGAAATAAAATTGCTTCATTTAATGTGAACATCTAGAGTAGTAACCATAACCACCTGTCATCAGAGGATTCAATGATGCAATTTTTAACCTGCAAGCCATTGAAAAATTTGTTGCAACAATTTTCGTATTTGGGGCACTAAACTCACTATTTCTTCAATCACTACCCACCGAGTATACAAAAACTGATTTGTGACCTTTGTAACAACAGTGAAAGAAATATAGTCCCAGTTATCAGTTTCATGGTGACAAAGATGTGCAATCTCCTTTTACTGCAACGATTTGAATTTATGACTCGTCTTCTACCCTATTTTACTCAAATATCAGCAGGTTTTTCGACATTCATTCGACCAAAAATCGTTTTGTTCTGATTTTATTAAATGCATGTGTGCGGGAAGGGTTCCAGAAGCTGCACTGCACAAACAAAGTTTATGAAAGTTGCATAATTAGATTGCACCATCAAAGGTCAGTAGTTCGATCTGTACAGTTGAAACAATAAGGACTAATGGCACATGTTCTCACGACACAGCTTAAATCGGTTAAACTCGATAATTTCATTGCAAAATTTTGGTTGTGCCGCGGTTTCTGAATTGGTGAATAGTGTTGCACTTTTTTACTGTTTGTTGCCTTTTGAGGCAACTGGAACGTGTTCTACCAATTTGCTTTAAAATGGTACTAGAGTAATTTCTTCATTAAAGTAGTTACATTACAAGCTTTGACGACATCATTGCCAGTTTGAAAAAACAGACATTTCCCACACTTTTTAATTGACCAAATTTCCGCTCACAGATCCCGCATAATTAAGAACTTCAACCTATTCATTAATACGTTCTTATTATTTCCAATAATTAACAAATTAATTTATAATGCACCATTATGAAAATTGAAAATGTGGCAATGCCATTACGAGTTAACAAACAAAGTAAAACATGTCGATACATTCGCCAGTAATATCTGGTCTCAGTGGGAAAAATCTCTAAAACAAATAGGTTAACGACGTGGCTAATTTTAAGACAGTTTGAGAAATAGTTGAGAAGATAAAAATTAATGTTCGATATAATGGCGATTTTGAGGTGTTACATTTATCTGTTCTAAATGCTACATGTATTTTTCAAAATCCTCAAAGAGCCTCTTAATAACCCCGCTATAATTATAGTTTAAGCCTCGATCTTCATGCTAATTATACCTTAAGCGTAACGATCTCCTTTTTAAGATAGTTTTTCAAGATAAGCATTGTTTCTCAACATTTTCAATAATAACTGCATTCACTGGACATTCTCTCTATTTTTTGCATAAAGTGACCAGAAGCGTCCTTACTTTTTGATTTCATTAACACTGTTGCACTATTAGATGTAACCAAGCGCATGTTTCGGCAGCGATTCCGGATGCCGGTCTAAATTCCGGTTCAATCCGTGTTGTCTATTAAATATGTTGCAATATATCTGGCAATAAACAGCGTCTTAGTAGTTTTGCCTTGGATCTATCCACGTAATCCGTTTTGGAAACAGTAGATGAATAACGGCCGTCCACGCCTTTCATAAATGTCCTTCACCTGGTGATTCGCAGTTCCATGGCTTTTAAACCAGTTTCAATACAGAATTATTTCACATGTTTATTCATCTAAACACATTTTTGCATAAGAAGGAGTAATCTCGGTAGCAATTAATTATATAAGACGCATTAGAAAAAGGTGCGTTTATGGCTGAAGAGTGTCGAATTTCTGGCACTGAATTCCAAGTTATTGCACAAAATTAATAAAGCAATCAAAAGTGAGAAATTTGAACTTTACGAGGATGCCAAATGATTGCACTAACCTTGCCGGTACGAAATTTTGCCTGTCGGTGGTGCTAAATTGCATCGCTTTTCCCGAAACTAAATATAATTATTATAAAAGTAATAATTCACCATAAAAACTAGTTTTTTTCAAACTAAGGTTGTGTCTTTGAACTAATTTGAAGTTTGCACTTTGGATTAGAAAATAACGTGTGGGAGGTTACGTGAACTACTTTGATTGCTAAAAAAAGTAAAAATGTTTTATTACCATCTCTTCGCCTATTTGAATTCGTGACTTATTGTTTTATTCTATTAATTACTTTATATAATGTAGTTTATTAGTTCCACGAAGCTTACCACAGAGATTTCTAATCTGTTATAAAAAACGAGCTAATTTTCTCCTCATTATTTCCCAAGAATAATACAATAACGCACATTATGTAAAAATAAAAGAAGAACACACTCGTGCAAAAAAATGACAAGATTTTTCTGCTCACCACCTTTTCCGCATTCTTCAAATGTCGACCTATTAGTATTATCATCTGTCGCGTTAAATTTATTACCAGACCCTGAAATTGATCATCTATTAACAAAACAGGCACATTTACATATTTTTTATTAAAGATGTATATATTCATATTTTCCAAAAAACTAATTCTATTAAATTTAATCTTTTAGTTATCGATGCTACATTATTATCAATAAGAATTATGTGGGTTATATGAGTTATCTAATTTTTGTTGAGTTTACTAGGTTGCATGGTGCAACTACGTGACACCATATAAGTTTTACAATACAATAAAGTTCAAATGTACCATTAAGTAAACAGCAAAATTAGGCACGAGCTGGTCATAAATCAGTGACAGTAAATCAGTGGGTTATCGTTTCAAAATCGAAGACTGTGGGCTGTTCACGTTTCTTTGAACAAACACACTATCGTTTGAATATAGCAAATCACCACGCCCAACTCCTACGTCGCATGAAATGTACCCTCAACCAACCATTTATTTTCTCAAAAAGTCACTCGATCTGATTCGTGATGTTATTACAACAACGAGTGCTTTAGTCTTGACTATCCGCATTAAATCCTTCCATGTGTTACAACGCAACACACCTTCTCCTTGAAACGACGCATAAGACGCAGACGGAGTCACCTCCGCAAACGATAATAAAAGATTCATAAGGAAACAGGAACACAGCTCAAATGACAAGCCATTTTCTCAATATCAAACCGTCCTACGTCTACTAAGTTATTAATTATTCTTCTTCTAATTTTAGTGGCTACCGCTCCTCTTGTGCGGAGCTATTTTCTTGAGTCAAACCGAAGCTCGAAGAGTTCGAGTGCAACCTGTACATGAACCCGACGAAGAAGAAACCATTCAATACTACGCCGCCGAACCACAGGATGAGGAAGAAGAACCACAGCCACGCCAACGAGTGGTTTTAGTATCTACAGCCGATCAATATAATGGTCTCTATGGCCAACCCACAGCTGCCTCGAGAAGCAGTCAAGACAATTACCTGCCATCCTCGCGTAAATCTCTAGCTGCTCTTAGAGCCAAAGACACACCTAAAACGCCTCCTATTCAAACAATCAGAAACTACAACAAAGTGAACGATGACGGTTCTTTCACATTCGGGTACGAAGCAGCTGATGGAAGTTTTAAGGAGGAAACGCGAGGTACTGATTGCGTTGTCAGAGGCAAATACGGCTACATCGACCCTGATGGCAACAAAAGAGAGTTCACGTACGTGTCGGGAAATCCCTGTGATCCCAACGCTCCGAAAGAAGAACCAGAAGCCGAACCAGAACGAGAAAACGAACCCGAAAATGTACCAGCTAATTACCCAATACGACCAATTCGACCCATCCGACCTGTAACTATTGCGCCAAAACCTGCAGTAACTTTGTTCCAGAATAACTACGACCAAAGCGAGGAAGAACAACCGGAACCTGAGCAAGTGCTGAAACCACAACAGGTAGCAATTCTTACAATGTTTTGCAATAAATTACCCGATTTTGTTACAGCCCGTTCGACGCCCACAATACATATCGCGTCCACAGTACGTCCAGCAAACAGCAACTGAAGAAGCCCAGGTTTATCAGAGACCTCAGATTCTTTCCGCCACAACTCCAACTTCTTTGCTTTTGCATAAACAGAGTATTAATATTACGCCACGACCTGCCTCACCGACTCCGTCGACGAGGACGCAGCTTCCAGCTACGACGTACAGACCTCAACTTCTCCAAGTTGCGGTAACTCCAAGACCTTCTTTGTTGTATACGACGAAGCAGTTGTCCTCGCCGTCTAGTACCGCTATCCCGTCAAGAGGCAGTCTCGATTTTGACGCGGAATTCCAGAAATTCCAACAAGAAAATAATATTCTTGCTCCAACACCTACGCCAAAGACTTCAGCTACGGTAGCTAAGACAAATAAACCAGCTACAACATCACCAGCGACAGGAACCAACCCGGTTTATTCGTCGGCTTTAATCTTTGATCCATCTTCTGGTCAGTACAACACACAGTTGTATCAGACCCTTCCTCAGACTGAAGGTGACATTTCGTTAAGCCAACGTATCCAGCCGTACGTGCATCAGCCACAAAGACAGGTGCTCAATTTGCAACAGCTACAAAGGCAGAGTCCTCTTTATGCGCACGTAAGGCCTACGCCAACTCAAGAAAGCTATCAACAGCAGCAAGCTGGGTTACAGTTCCAAAATTCGGCACAGTTGTACGCACAGCAGAGAGCAAGACTACAGCAACAACAGCAGTCACAACAGGAGCCTCAGAGGCAGTCTGTGCAGTCACAGCCGGTGTACTACATCCAGCCCTCCGTGGATCAACCCTTGGCAAATGGTCAGATCGATGCGTTCCTCAGAGGACACAATATCCAGTTTTAGTTAGTATAGGTGTTTCAAAAGACTAGAATCATTGGACTGATCAGCGTGAGGCAAGTGTAACCTCTACTTGTCATGTTAGTGAAAGTGCTGCGATATCCACGATAAACACGGTCACGCCCAAATTATGCAATACTCAGTTTGCATGCGCGATTTTTTAACATCGCGAGGTGTTGCTTTTCACTCTTGCACTGGGTGGCTTCGTTGCTGATCTGCATAACTTTCGTCATTGTCTTGGCTTGGTTCATTGTCATTCCTTTCAAGGCCGTTCGCAACGCGCCCATTGCGACCTTGGTAATTCTAGATTTTACTGTAGTACACTATTTATATTTCGACTTTGAGAATTGTGCCTTATGTAATAGAAAAATTACCAAATGTTAATGTGGAAATGAGCGGTCATTATTACGCGGTTATATTTGACGACTAGGTACTTGTACATAACAGATATAGAGGTTTAGTCTTTACTCTTGATGTAATAATATAGTATTATTATTATAATGTTTGTACTTTGTTATGTAAGAACATTAATGAAATAAATATTGTATATACTGAAGTACAACGTTTTTGTAAGATCCTCTTCCTGTAGCTGACGCATTTTCGAAACATTTCACCACTGAAACACTTCAGGTTTTATTGTCATGCAAATGCAGACATTCATCATTAAAATCTCAAAACTCTCTTGTTCCGAAACGAATGTTGCAGAACAATGCAACAATATAATCATAACCAGCTCCCATAATTTTATGAAAACTACAACTTTCTTCAATTTTCTTCACTTTCCTTTCGTCTGGCTCAAGTGAAACTGTGCGACATGAAACTATCAATTTTGTTTAAAAAATCCCTGTTTCCTTTCGATTTCCCTTTTAATCCAGTCCAACTTCTTCAGGTGTTCTAGCAATTTATGCACACACTGACTCTCATTTAATTTATTTGTGAACAAATTAAATGAGGCATTTCACGGAGTTACGTATGGAATAATGATTGCGTCCCCACATTTAATTAGTAACGTAAGAAAGTTGGGTTTGTTTATGGTATAACGTACGTTTGCACGTACATACGAGGATATCCGCTAACAGCTTTCATTTTTCACTAGCTGGAATCCGACGAATAGAAACATAAATTTGTTGTCTATTTATGTAAATCGAACAATGCTGAAAAATCACAACCATGGGAGCTGATTGAATCAATGGATTATGCAAGCGAGAAGAAATACCAAGTACGACATCTGCGAAATGTTTCGCAGCTATAGGAAACGGAAAAAGACTTTTGCACTAAATTCAATTGACAAAGTTTATGTCGTCGTAAAATAATAAAATTCATTACAAATTATGAGGCAAAACGTGCCATCTGTTCGATTGTCATGCGACCTCTGAACTTCAATGGCTCGTAAAAAAAGTGACTTGACGGTTTAATTACTTTAAATGGGTTTGCTGACAGCTTGTGAGTATCCGCAGATTTACGGTGTATTAAGTAACAACCACAATTACTTTATTGTTTAATAAAGGAAGTGGGTGTAATTTTCAAAAGTGAAAGATGCAGACGCTCAGAAAAAAAAAATAAAAAAATATTTTTAATGTTTTTTTTTTTCAAGTAGTGAATAATATAATGAACTGATTTAATAGTTGCCAATCAGACCAATCAAATTCAGTTAACTTCGGAATGTTGAACGTTGACTGAATGACTTCTAACAGTTTTATGAATTCCTATAAGTGTTTTTGGATTATGGTACTAATAAGTATGTATAATTTACACAACATTAACTCCTATGGACAAATTTTTCCTACAATCAATGTCGCAAAATGTATAAAATAGATGCATCAGAATTCGTTTAGCCATTGTTCATTATTTCAGAACTGGAAATATAGATTCAACATTTATATGATTTGATCCAAAATTATTTTTCAGCATTTTTTTTTAATTTGTAACTTCCACATTGAGCTTATATTGGTTTAATAGGAATCTTCTACAAATTCCTAGCTATTGAACGAATTTTAGAGTCCTGAGTCCTGACTCTCCTGTTCTGCCTTTTTTAAATAGGGAATTTCCTAAAAAGTAAGTTACAAATAATTGAAGAAGTTTCCTAGGCAAAACAAAACACAAGCACTTTGATCGAACAAATGGAATGAACGGAATGGACATAAAGTACATATAAAGAAGGCATCGGAAAAGTATAAACTGGTACTATAGGAGAAGTATAGTACATAGTTAATTTCTCAGTTCGTACTGTTCGTGTACTGAATCTCAGATTTTCTTTCTACTCCCCGAGCGGATGTCAAGGAATTATTGTAATAGGATCCATCGAGAGTGGCTACTTTCATGTTTTCTCAATGTTACATGGCCCCAAAAGTTTGAAACTATAGGTCTCCCGTTTACGTCTATCGTCTGCCATCTGCGTCGATTTTTAATAGACAAATAATCTGCGAAACTACCGGGCCAATTTTATATGCATTTTAGTATCGTGTAAAACTGTAACCAAATTTGTCTAATCATCACCAACAATGTGATAACGTCACCTCAAAATTGTTCATAATCACAGAAAATTGTATTTAAATTTTATAAAATATTATACGCCTACAGGTGTGGTTCATGAATCCATCTTGATTTTTACCCCATACATTAAAATTTTCGCAAAAAATCAATATTGTATAACAACATTTTACAATTTAACTTTGGAACTACAAAACCGAATGTTCTAAAATCTTGTAAACCTTTTAAGATTATCGTAAACATGGTAAATCGTTAGTAAAAATTTATTTTTTTAGTTACCCAAAAAAAAAATTAATCCCATCTAAAATATATAAAATATAATGCTGTTTTAATATTAAACTGCACCTATCCAAGTTGATATACGTGTCCTTGCTAAAATGTTAATGCAGTCATAACAAACTTTTCTAATGGAAACACTCACTTAAAACACACACATAACATGCTTCTGTACCTTTACTTTAACACTACACACATATCTTTATTTTAACTTAGAGGGGTTGTCGTAAAAAAAATTAAAATTAGGAAATTCAAATTTTACAATAAAGTCTGCAATGCTATACTGTACTTTAGGAGCGAGAAAAGTTCTATCTAAATATCCTTTGGCCATTTTTTTCGTTTTTATAAGTACATATAACGAAAATCTTTTCAAAGACCATTTGTGCTAATAGATATGAAAATCAAAAAAATATATTACAAAAGCTAATAGGTGAGGAAAAAAAAACAGGTATCATGATCAGGTTAGTGGAGATAAATATATTTTTAACTATTCAGTTGATTCTAGAATATATATTTTTTCTGAAACCTGTGTACCGAAGCATAGTAGAAGGAGACATATCTTGAAAAAAATACATCACACTACTGAAGCACAAGAAGTAATGCATGCCAGAACTTTTCAGTAAAGGTTTATAGAATAATTAACATCAACAACATTTTAGAAAAAATATATTCATTTTGACATATATAAATGTATTATACCGAGTGATTCTTTAAATTTCTGCTCTAGTTAGCCATGACACTAACATTAGCTGTTTCAGCTTTTCTGCTGACATAAGTGTCATGGCTAACTGAGGGCAGAAATTTTAAAAATCACGCGGTATAATACTGTGTTCAACACAAACGGCAGACGGCAGATAACAGACAGCAGACAGACAGACGGAAAGATTGACCTATTTTTTCCTAATCTAGGGGTCATGAAAGGTCGACGAAACATGAAAGTAGCCATTCGTCCGATCGACCTTATCACAATAGTTCCTTAGCTTACGCTCAGGAAAAAAAACTAAACAACCAATATCATATTTCAAAGCATATTTTCGAATATAAGTTTATTAAATTTTTCTTTGAAATCGTCGCGAAGATAATAAAATGCTAACCAATTTTTTTTTACTAATTCTCTCTAAAAACGTGATTAACATATATACTATGTAACATTAATCAGATTAATCTTTTACAGAACACTAACATTAAGTCTCCCCCACCCCCCAGGAAGTTGATGTTATTTCAACAAATTTTTAAATAAATGCAAATTAAACGTATGTTTGAGATGACCTTTCCTTTGTAGTTTCGTAATAGATTCGTACTTTTGCTGATTTGACAATAAAAAAATTACATTACGTTTATCCCACAGTGTTTGAGACTTCAATAATATTTTGCTTCAAAAATTAAACCGAAGGAGAACGTCGCTTGTAAGCTGAATTTTGTTATTTTAGTTTTTGTTTATTGTTTTATTCACCATATTAAGTTTTATATATATATTTTTTAAGTAGGAAACATTAATTTGGATTCATAAATGTGGCACCATCTACTCAAAAAATCAGAAATTAGAAAGTCGAAACGTCATTTTTGTCTATAGAATTTGATGTAAAAAATAACAGTAGGTTAAAGTACTACATTCTATACATAATTTGATTACAGTTTTTTGTTGTAAATTGCAAAACGTTATCTTAAGTCTAACTAAATTCTGTCAAAAATTATTTCAAAATCCATGAAAAGTAGAAACTAAAGACACTTCATTTGTAAAATAGAAGAATTGTGTATTTCCGTTTTGTACTTCTAATTTTCAGCAGTCGATGGATCACTAATATCACAAATACCATTCGAAACGAAACAGTTTTTATTACAAAAATTTCTCTTTTTAGATTAATTTTATTGTAGCTTTGAAAACACCAAATTAAATATTACGGTAACTAGTGACGATTGTTGTGAGAAGCGTATTGTGTGTCACGTTTATAACCATAAATAGGTAACTTTTTCTACGATATTATTCCGTTACAAATTTCTCTTTCTAACAATGTAAACAATTCAACCTTCCACCTGAATTCGTTGTCTACAACTTATATTCTTCCATGCTTCACATTCCTCGACTGAAAGCGATACAATTTTCAGAAATCATTATTTAATGGTTCACTGATTTGAGTGTTAAGCACGGAATATTTTATATCTGACGTATTTTGCAATAAAAAATATAGAAGATCGATCAACCGATAATCACCCGGTAACGTTCCAACAACAATAAAAAATAAACAATTCTTCCTCATGTAGATCATGCTTAAACCCATTATGTAAAAGTCTATTTAGGAAAACCTTTCTCCTGCTCCAGTTTAAATTTCCAGATAATGTTCTGTAACAATATTGCGACAGTGAAACTGACACTGAGCTCTATTATGATACCTCGTAGGCATCTAGTCGTTAATTTACACTAATAAAAATATCCACCTTGTGCAAATTAAGACGAACTTCGCTCATTATCTGAGTTCAAATCAGGTGTATGCGCACCTATAATTTTGTGTAGATATTTAAGATTTTGCAGATATGTTTCAGTACTGTTTAGAGAACATAAATCATTTGCGATCTCCTAAAAACAATTTGGTGGGTTTTTTCAGTTACGTTTCATGAATTATTCATTATCTTAGAAAGATAATTTGCGTAATATTATGTAATAATCGGAAATTATTTCCACTCGCCAAATTAAACGGTTTTTATAGGGACAATGTATCGATTTGCATACAAAACCAAAATTCGAATTAAAGAACAATGACTAACGAAAGTGAATTGTATCCAAGTGCTAGCTAAACTCCCAGACTAGTGATTTTACAGCTGGAATATTGAGGACAAAGTGCAAAATCAAAGGTTGCATGTGTTACTGTTATGGCATGATTGTGCCAAAAGCATTTCTTAGACAATTAATGGGGCGTGGCGAATAATTTTTCCTAATTCAACCATGGCCAAGTTTATTCAAAATCGTTTGGCATTTGCAACGAATAATTTATAGCTGTGTTGTTTGAAAATAATATATATCTATGTAATGGTTTCGTCTGCTTTTCCATATTAGTAAAAAACAGACTGAAATTTTCACATTTATTTGTATGTTTATTTTGTGTTTGTTTATTGATACAAGAATTATGTCGAAAAATATATAGGTACACCGGTATTTTTAAATTAATTATCATCAATTATTATCATATTATCGTGAGACAGAACATTTTCTGAATTGCAGTAGACCATGTTATCCACCCTATAGTTGGCATTATTTAACGTTATATCTGACCAGGTATAGAATAAGGTGAACCAATAAACAATTTTATTTGTAGCTAGTTGCAACTGTAAATGTGTAAATATTTACCAAAGTGCTCTACGAACTGCAACCATTTTCACCAAAGCAGCAATCTCATCATTATACGCAAGTTTCACCATGTCCGTTGCAATTTAAGCATACAAATTAACTCTCAACAACAGATACCTTTCTTCAATATCTCCAGGAGGTCAAAATTAACAACTTTAGTTTTTGATAAAGAATATTTATGGCTTAAATAAGGACCATGAACAGATTTTTCTATTACTTATTTGGCACTAGTGATCCTGCTGTCGAAGAAAAAAACGCTCTTTTGATGGTCTAAAATTAAATTACAATGCAAGATTACAACCAAAAATACTGATTAGTACACAGATTTTAAAATTTGATAACAGATCACATTTTCGGTGAATCTGCATACAAGTTTCAGTTAGCGTTTTACATAATATTCTTAAAATTCAACTAAAATTCGTCCACCATCTGTCCAGTAGTTTCGGAGATTACCTACTTATTTATGTAATAAAATCACCAACAAACGACAGATGACAAACAGACAGATAGACATGTGGACCTACTTTTTCGTGTAGGTAATACAAGCTATGAAATGTCAAAAAAAAACCTGAAATTAATTACTTGTCTAGTGTTAATTATAGAGTTATAAAGGTTAAAGACAAATCAAAAGCTAAGATAACTGTCAAAATGACGCCATTTTCTGGTATATTTTTCAGACAAAAATTAATTAATTAATTATACTATTGTGACTGCGGCTATATTAATTTAGGCAACCAGTTATATAGCACACTCTGTTTTTATTGATCATTCAATATGGGGACTTTTCTTTTAAATGGTAATTTTTACAATAATTGGCAATTCTGTGCAATTGGCGCCGGGCTGTTGTTCGTTTGTGTCAAACGCCTTTGAAGTCTAACCAATAATTTAAGCAAATTAAAGTGAGTTTTCCTGCAAAAACAATAAACAGCACAAATTTGTTGGTCAAAATGTCAACTTTTAAAGAAATGTGCGAACAATATTTCGGAACAACCGATCTTTACGAAGTTTTGGGAGTAGAACGTACTGCGACGGACAAAGAGAGTACGTTAATTTTAAAAAATATTTCTCCAATATTATTTAATTTTTATTGTAGTTAAGAAAGCGTACCACAAGCTCTCGCTTCTGGTGCACCCTGACAGAGTGGAGGAGAGTCGAAAAGCTGTAGCCACAGAAAAATTCAAAGTTCTGGGAAAAATCCACTCAATTCTGCAAGATGAAGATAAAAGAAAGTGCTATGATGACTGTGGGGAGATTGACGAGGAAAGCGACTCCAATTTCAACTGGATGGAGTATTGGAGAGCTATTTTCAAGAAAATTGATATTAAAGATATCGAAGAGCACGAAAAAAGTTACATTGGATCTGAGACAGAATTGCGCGATATTAAAAAAGCGTATGTGGGAGGGAAGGGTAATATGGATTTGATACTGGAAATGGTTCCATTTAGTAACTGTGACAGTGAACCCCGAATTCTGGAAATAGTCAGAAAGATGATTGACGATGGGGAGGTTGAAGAATATCCTGGATTTTTTAATGAGTCTAAGCAGAAAAAAGCCAGAAGGAGGAAGAAGTATGAAGAGGAGAAGAAAGTTGCTGAAAGCATTGACAGAAAAGCATTAGAGCAAGAGCTCGAGTTGAATAAGAAAAAACGATTGAAGGGATTTGTTGATTTGATTTCCAATATTGAGGCCAAATATGGAGGTGGTACAAAACGCAAATCCATAACAAACGGTGCAAAAACAACACCAAAAAAGAGAAGCAGTAGGAAGTAGTTTGGTTTTGAGTATGTTTTTTTTTACTTTTTTCTATGAAATTTTAAAATTAATAAAACTATGATTAAGGAACATGTTTATTTTTCCAAATTTAATTACAAAACAATATAAAAAGATTACTCCCTGTGAATGAGGACATAAAAACCTAGACACGCTAGAACTGCGTACTGAAACAGTTTATTCAACACATGTTATTGTCAAGTTAATAAAAATTACCTTAAATTTTGGATACTCATTCATCAATATAGTCACCATTCCAACATAAGGCAAGAAACCTCTAGCTCTACCCACTACATCTTTTTTAGTCAACCAAAGCTGCCCAGGAGCATAGAGACCTCTATCATCAACACTGTTATTGTCTCCTTTCGTGAGAAATTTAACAGTACCGTTTTCCCTTAAAACGAATAATAAAAATATGTAAACACAAGAACAAAATTTTACTTTTCATGCAACTTCAAAACTCTGTGAACTATTGGAATATCTCTGCCTTCAACTTTGAAAACAACAATTTCTCCAACTCGCACCGGTTCTTCTGGATAATTAGTTAAAAACAGCAAATCTCCCCTATGAAAAGCTGGCTCCATACTACCCGATAAAACTACAACAATAGGACTTTCGCTACCGGTTCCAACCATCAAACCTTTCCATATCATAAGTGCTGAAGATACTATCATACCAAAGCTTAAAACCTGGTATAAAAACTGAAAACCAGTTTAAATGTATACATATTGGAACACATGGTTCTGTCAACTTACTTGACGCTTATTCATACGCTTAACATCATCGAACATTGTGGCGATATCCATTTTCAATTAACAACTGTATAATGTATATAATGTGAAAATGGGGTCCTTTTTGAAATACCACGTCAGTTCCCTGTTGGCTGTTCTGTTGTACTCTGTCGCCGCCAATGTGACAACTGACAAGTGACAGTCAGAATGACAGCTAGTAAACAGAATGCCAATCAGACACTAAAAATTACTAACAAATTTAAAATTTTAAATTCGCAAAAACTTTATTCATGTTTGGAATACATATTCACAAAAATTTCGCGAATAGGTTGTCCCTCACTCTTACTAAATTTCCGTTCGTTTTCAATTTTTTCTGAATTTTGTCCCCACCCCGTTGCAATAGTCTGCAAAGTCTTCAAATCTTCCAGGCTTTGTTTCACTCTGGTAAGCTCCAAGTTGCACATATTTTCCGTTTCGGCTAATTTTCTTTTATAATTTTGCAGTTCCAACAACTGTTTAATTGAGTGAGTTTTCAAAATATCCTCCTTTTTTTTCGACGTAGTTTCGCCACTGCTCATTGTAGAAACGCTGCTTGTTTTACTGAGAATATCGCACTTTACATTTTCCTTTGATTTTACTCTGTGAGCACATGAGCATTTCATTTCTTGTTGTTGCTGCTGGAGGCTCCGAATTTGTTCTAAATCTTCTCTCCATAGCTCTTTTTCTAATTTTAATTGCTCCTTCAAGTTCATTATTGAAGTCTGGAGTGAAGATATTCTCTGCCGGAGACGTTTCTCATTAGATTCTAGAACAATTTTGTCAGATAATGAAATTTCGCTTCCAGAGTCGCTACTGATATCTGAAGCCTCTAGTTCATGCGCCACTTCTTCAACATTACTGGTTACATCCACAAGTTCTTTTAAAGCATCGCTGGTCGTCATTTTGTAATAATTTTGCGATTTTTAAATAAACGTGGAATAATTTGAAAGTAGCCTACTTTATAATATTTTGGCGTTTCCACATGAGCAGTTGTGACCCGTTAGAATAATCTAAAATAAGCTGATTTTATAACAAAAATAAATATCTTCAAATCACCAGGAAGTGACAAACAAAAACAAATAAAAATAATGTGGTCTTATATCAATTAGTGAACTTTTTTAAGGTGTTTAAAATTGTAAGAAAGAAGGCAGCTGAAAAACAAATGAAGCAATTTGTCTTCAAATTACATTAAAATCACTAATAAATTAATTTATTTACAACTAAAATCTGTACAACGAAAGCTATTATCATTCTTTATCACTTTTTGCTCCTGGGGACATTTCATATTCGGGTCGTTTGGGAAAAGTTTCCATCCCTTTTTCCATAGGAGTCATTTGACCAGACTTAGCATCTACTGCAATCGCGTTCTTTTTCTTCATCTGCATAAGAGCATAATTCCTCATTACTTCTTCTTCAGAGGGTGGCTCAGTTCTTCTACCTCTTAACCATGCTTCCCACTCAGCTGGCATTTCTTGCATAAAATCATCCTTTTTGGGTGGATCAAACCATCTAGATGCTTTTCTTTTACCCACAGAAGGATCAGCAGGAATTTCGTAATATTTGTTACCAAAGTAGTCACTTCCAACCAGATTCCCTCTAATCTGTCTTGGTCTTAGAGAATTTATAAAATTTGTTAAAACAATCTTCCAGATACTTCTTGCCGGAGGTTGACTCATTTTTATTTATGGAAAATAACGTGACAATGAACGATGAAGTTTTGTAAAACAGGGTTACTTCGTTGTTTTTTGTCAATGCGAAATTTTGAGGTTAACCTCAAAGGATAACAATTGTAAACTATACTTCATTATATCAAAATGTCTGCTAAAATCAAATACACATATAAAATGACCCTTCTTAATTTAATTTTATACAAATAAACTTGCCTCATCAATAATTAAAAAAACCTTGCCATTTTTGAAATTTTATTGACAGCACAAGTTGAATTGGTTCTATTGGTAGCACTGGATGTAGGCAAATTTTATATTGATAATGATAAGTGATAAACAGATAAGTTCACCCATTGTAACGTAATAAAGAACCTGCGAAAATCAAGAAATTGAGTTAACTTAAAAAAGATACTTTGTTTTCTGTGGTTTAAAATTTAAAAATTAAAATAGTACTTAGAAAAAATATAAGTTGGCGCTACTGTGCGAAACTGGTTATCTGGGGATTTTTGTGCTGATTTGACGTACAGTGATGTCATCCCAGGCGTGGTGCTGAAAGGGGGCCGGGGATTGGTTGCAGGTAAAAAATGGTTGACGGTTTAGTGAAAAATGAAGATACACAAATGTGAGAAATTAGTGGTTATTTTCAATCTCAGAGTGTCAGAAATTAGAAAATTTTCTCCACAATAAAACGACATTTTCTTGTTAAAGGTGAGTCTTAAACGTTTTCCATTTGGTGTAAATAATTGGACAGGTTGTTGGCCATAAACTTGCTATTCTGACATTTCCTTTCACTGAACATGAGGATATTCATCGTTCAAAATATGGAACACCCTATCCTTCAAAATCCAAAATTTCTAGCTTAAAATTGTATTTTTCAAAGTACCCTTGCCGTCCTTGTCCTTGTTTGGTCCATAATTTACCATACCTTATGTACCCACAATCTCCTTGTGATCTAAGTACACATATTTACCTTCAAAAACTGCAAAAGTCTAAAGCAAATAAACATTTTTATTATAGGTAAACAAGATGAGGAGAAGAAAATTGTTCCCGGGTTTACTTTCAAAGTGTCTTAAGTGATCGTAGTGTTTGTGTTTATTCCATTTTCGAACAGTAGCCAACATGTCTTTTTTCAACAACATTAAGAAAGTGCTTCATTTTGGTGGTAACGATGCGAAAAAGAAAAAAGTGTTTAATAATGTGCGGATGGACTCTGATCCGGAAGAGTATTGGGACATGATTGGTGAACTGGGGGATGGAGCATACGGTAAAGTGTATAAAGCCCAACATAAACACACGGGGCAGTTGGCGGCGGCGAAAATGTGCCGTTTGGACGGGGAAGACGACCTGTCTGACTTTATGATAGAAATTGATATTTTAACTGAAACCAAACATCCGAACATTGTAGCGCTGCATGAAGCCTTTCAAAAGGAACAGCAACTTTGGATGTTAATCGAATACTGTGATGGCGGGGCCTTAGATAGTATTATGACTGAATTAGAGAAACCTCTTAGTGAACTACAGATAGCTTACGTGTGCCAAAATATGTGCAAAGGCTTGCAGTTTTTACACAAGAATCATGTCATTCATAGGGATTTGAAAGCAGGGAATGTCCTGCTTACAATGGCTGGAGGAGTGAAATTAGGTAAGTAAATGCATAAGGAAAAGTTGTCTATTCTAAAATGTAGCACAGTAGAGAGGGTGATATCAGTGGTAACTGATAAAAATATCGTCACTGTTTTGTAATAATATTATGCAGTTGTGGTTGCTACTATAATCTCAGATTTGTGTTCTGTTTATGTTTGCGTTTTTTTATGTGTTTATTTTTAATATGTGTATACACTAAGTTCTATTGAGTCATGCATGTTTAAATTGTTTTAAAAATTCAAAGCCCGCTTGCTATCTATTTTTATCTTTGAATAGAAAAAGTCATTATTGTTTCACTAGAGTGTTATGTATGCCACGTTCATCAATCAAATAATTGACACTCTAAATGCTAAAAAGCCCCCCCTTATCGCGTGTGCATTTTTTGATAAATTCAAATCGCGAAAAATTGCGATTGTCGGAATTATATTTGAGGTCAAAGACAATGTGTAAATATTTCCTTAAATAAAAAAATATTTAAATATAAATTTTACTGCTTGGTACATGGTTGTCAAGGTCGCATTATACAGAATTGCGTTATGAGTACAACAAAAAAGCATACAGAATTCGTAGGTTCTCACCATTTTGTTAAATAAATAAAAGTAGGATACACCGAATTGAACGTCGAATCTTGATTTATTACCTCGTGAAAGAATTTCGGAAATAATTTATTTTGATGCCGATTTGTATTCACATTCTTCCAAAAAGTGTAGTTAAAGATTGCGTTAATGGCCGTAATTATTTGCTTAATAAGGTGTCGACATTCAAGTGTTAATAACATAATTAAATAACTGCTTTTAGAAGATGTTTACAAATTCATTTAAATGTGCATTTAACAGTATCCAAAAATACATTTTCATTTATAGAGCGAATAAAATTCTTGTTGAAGAAATCTTGCTCTCTTTTGTCTGTCTGTCAATTCATCAAGGGTACGTTGAAACTGTTCTTGCAATATCATCGTTAGTGTAACAAACAAATCCAGCATCATTTATCACTCTTCTGCTATTCTTGAAGAGAAGTACAAAAAAAATCTGTTGTAATGTGCTTATATACACTATGTAGGTCGGATCAGGAAAAATATACAACGAGAATAAATCAACGAAATACAATCCAATTCCAAAACAATAAATGTTAAAAATGGGCTGCGAGTCGTCATAAATTGGTTACTCAGGTACTAGACAATGTCTAAAAATAACAAGTCATAATCTGTGTGATCGTATACTATTTCTTCAATTAAAATTTACTGACTGCATCCTTGGAAATATTTCTTGTGCATTCTTGGTTAACTGTTCCGGTGGCACACGCTAAAATATACAGGATGTTTGTATTTAAAAATTCACAGTCATTTCCGCATAAATCGTGCGCCTAATGCAAATTTCGTTTACACCGTCGAGTGGAGGATATTGTGTAAAAGTAGCTTGCTGAAATCGGGATATTTTTACAAAATAGAAAAGATGCTTGCCGCAAGAAAAATAAACCATCGCTGTCAATCATTGGGGTTCATAATTTCAGTTTCTTAGATTACCTACGAGCTTTAAATAAGCCGTGATTAAACCAATTTCCGCGAATCCGATGACGGCTTGTTTAAACAATATCGCTTTCGTAGTCAAAAAATATGTTGTGCTCGACTGGATTGAGTCAGTGTATCTCCCACTGGTTTCATTTGTTGTATATTGTCTTGTTGTAGGTTAACTGTTGGGTTAATTGATACACAAATAGCACAAAGCGTCATGGTTCAATTTCGCAAGATTAATTTAGTAAAATGGTGTTGAAAGGAGCTCTTGTGCAGTGGTGCGGGCAAGGGCAGATTTAAATATGTAACGATAACGTGGTTTATCACGAAGAGTATAGCTTTATTTTTGTAACATTTTTTTTTTTTTTAGTATGAGGAATTAAAATACACCCCGATTTGATCCAGTTAAATTAGAATTGTGTATAAAAAATACTCCTAATAAATTTGTTTAACTTATGTAACAACTACTATAAAAATGCAACAAATCTCGAAATGCGATAGAAAACTATTATACTTAAAATGCTGTTGAAAATTGTAAATGGACAAAAATACTCCTTGTACATTTTATAGGATTTTTTTTTCTATCGTCATTTTGTAACTCGAGTTGGGATATTAAAATCTATACCGGTCTAATAGGTCACACACGAACAATTTATGCAGAACCAATTTATATTTTGAAGTAGTCAAGGATCGGTCAGCCTACGAAAATCAATCATCTACTATCTGATCATAACTTGCACAATATGAAAATAGCATTTTTTTAGTCTGTTGTGTGTTGACGATTTTATTGGATCTTCATAACTATTAAACCGAATACTTTGGGATTTTATATGTGCCATAAAATAATCATGTAGATGGTAAAACACTAACCAAAATTTATCTGGTTGCCCCCTCCAAAAAACTGATGACATTATTTCAAAATTGTGGTAAGCCTTGAATGAGGCAAAATGGAAACTTAGTTACTTGCGGTTTAATAATTCACTTTTATTTATAATTCAATGTACAAGAGTTAATCAAAAAAATAAAATTGTAGACACAAAATTTTATTTATTTTTTTTTGAGACCTACATAATGCAAAATTTTGGAATTAAATTGCTTTAATAATTACAAAACAATTTGTAATAAAAAAAATGTGTGTTAAAAATGAATACCCTGAAATCCTTAAAAAAAGACATGGTGGTTAGCTAGGTTGTATAGTGTCCTAAATACTACAAGGTTATATGGCTGTTGTAAAATTAGGCTATTGTGAAGACGACAATGGAGCAGTTAATAAGGCAAACCCATAGTTGTAAATTGTGTTTGTGTTGGTTTAATGTATCGAAAATATTTAAGCGGATTAGCAGTAGATATTGAGGTGGCAAGATATTGAGAGAAATCCTTGATTTATGACGCTAGGATTGAGCCGGTAACCAGCCCCACAAAAGGAATTATATATTCGGACACTACAATAATTGTACATATCAAAGTTAATATTGTTATCCTTACCACATGCTTGGTTAATGCCTCATTCCAAGAAATATTTAGTAAACATTGTAAATGGATATTTTAAATACCATGTTAATTGCAATTTAATATTTTACCATTGCTAACTAAACAAATATTTAAAAAAGTTAATGTTAATATGGGTTATTATATTTTACATACACCTATTATATTTAACAAATTAATTTACGAAAAATATGTGATACAGTATATATAAAAAATCCATAAACTAACCATTGTGTGGCATTTGTCGTGTTTCCATGTACAGATAATTTAGCATATTTTTTATGCAACTTTATAGAGGAAATAAAAAGCCTAAATATAGTAATGAAAATTTTTTAATTGTGTGATTATAACACAGAAATGATTTAAACCAGTTACAAAGAACCTAAAAATAACAACAGATCTTTCACACTTGCTGCATTTTAGAAACTGCTTTGAAACTAAAAATATGTAAACCTGTATCCATTCATCCCTTCCAAAAGATGGTTATGTTATCACAGTAATGTGTTAAGTAAGTTTCACTTGAAATCTGAGCGTACCGTACTCGTTTACCTGTACTACTTTTAACTTTATGAATACGAAAAAGTTAACTTTGGACCATAAAGTTTTACAGTTTGTTGCAGACGCAACACAGAAATGTCAGCAAAACACAAACATTGATTTATGGATTACAGACCATTAACTTATATTTATTTCCGAAATATTGATGACGTCATTTCTAAAAATTATCGTTCGACATTTGTGATTTTAATATTCTTACGCAATTTTTATAATCGTAACACGTGTTGTATGAAACTATTAAAGAGTAAACAATTTATTTTATCGAGCAGTTGTCAAAAGAAGTCATTTGACTGTTATTTCAATGTTGACTTTCCCTGTTTTTTTTTTGCATTTTTCAAGTTTGTCCAAAATACACCGTTTTTCTTAAACAAAGCCACAAAAGGAAGTCAAGGGGTATAAGATGTGAATATCTTGCAGCCCACTGAATATTCTAGTTCTAATTCTAATTAGTTTTTTTTGAACATATGCATATGGAAATTTTATTTTATTTGCACCACAACCAACCGCGTAATTTTATCTCTTCAGAAAATATTGTAATACAAATTTTAAAAATAACACTGGTGCATTTTCTTGAACCTTTCCATTGCTAAAAAATTTCAAGTAAAATTGGCATAACGTGGCAACGTTGTACTGTAATTTAAAAAATAAACCGCAGGAGACAAATCAAAATGTATACAGAGTGTTTTCTTTTTAACATACAACTTAGTTTTTTTTTAATGATACACCTTGTATATTTATAACCTTGTATAACTACAGTTAAAAATAATTTTAAAGTACAGTCTTAAAAGAGCCGTGCAACTGTGGTCTTTCATTTTTTCTTCTATTTCTAATAATTGATAAAATATCGAAGAACGTACGTTTTATGACCTGTATCAGTATCAGCACAATTGTAAAGAAAAGAAAAACTATTTGATACGCTTGATTTGAAGAACACATTTGATCGCAATTTCCGGAAAAACTTTGTAGATATATTTATTCTTTGAGTCACAAGTTATATTTGTTTTGGTAGCTCCAGAGCTAAATTGATACGAATACCAAACTGAATCACGGGGGATATTTTTTTATAGTAGTCATAAATTGATTAAACATTAAAAATCAATTTTGTCACCAGAATCAATACTGGTCACAGCTTCGCCTTTATTTTTTCTTCTCTAATATCGTAAAAATTAGTATCAAATTCCAGAGAGAGAAAATTTCTACTACAATTTTGGAGACGGTGTCTAGGTCTATCAAGTTTTTGCTTTTAAATTAGTTTCAAAATTTGCTAACTCTTTGTGTTCGGCAAAAAAAAGCTGAGAATATAATAACTTTAGCGGAAATCCGAGGCATTTAAAAGAATTAACGTGATAAGACTGATACGGGTGAGATATTGTAGTAACGAAAATAACGTTCCTGTTCGATAAAGGACGTAATCACTTACATAGAATTATCTAATAAAAAAAATTGGTCCAAGGTTACACAGTCCAACGAATTCCACTTCTTTGAAAAATTACAAAAAAAAATTGTTTTCTGATAACCCTTATATAGTAAAAACCAGTGGTGTAAATGACAGATTCCAGTTTTTGATAACGCTTTATATTTTGAGTTACGACGTTAATTTTCATTTTCCACATATTGTAACACAGATTCACGCAGCTTCTTCAAAAGAAAAATTATGATTTTGCAAATTTTACTTTTGCCATGATAACTCCTATAAGTTAAATAAAACGAAGCCAATTCATAAACCACAAATTTACGAGTCTGTTATTTTATACAATTTAAATAGCACTTACTATGCGAAATTTTTAGGTACCGTCTTCAAATTGTTGGTGGGAATAATTAGACTAATTAGACAAATTTTGGTTATCGCTTTACTACATATCTACACGATATTCCTAAAATACAAAAGCTTACGACCGGGAAGTAAAAAAATTAAAAGAAAATTAGCGTTTTATTTTGTTGGAAAAACTGAATTTGAAAAGGCCATAATATGCATTATATTTTATTTTCGTAACTTGAAAAGAGTAAAAGAAGAAAAAAAGATTTAAATCGGCCCACCCCTGACCAGATTGTTTGATAATATACTCAAACGTTATTTTTGTGTAAAATTTTATGATCTGATTAGCAGGGGTTGGACGACATAATAACAGGGCTAGTGACCATTATAAAATGACTGGTGCTGATGAAAATACATACAACAGAAGATAAAATATAAATTTATAAAAGATTCCCACGAATATGGTGAATTATCATTATTAACCATAATTATAATTTTTTGTGAGGGCGTTTCCATAAAAGTCTGTTCAATTTTTTTAATAACGTGTTCAGTTTTGCCGATTTTGACTGTAATTGGTTGTACTTATTCACAAATGAAATTTACTACGGCGGCGGAGTTCTCAAGGTGGTTATTGTATTTTCCGATCCTTTGGGAACACTCCAAATCAATTAACTTGGATTAAAAATAACAACAGTAAGGAGGTAATCTTAGTATTTGAAAAACATATGATTGTGGTATTTTGCATCTTGCGTAGATATTTTTAAAATTTACCTCGAGACAATTTCTAATAATTATTTACCGAAAATTGGGGAAATACTGATTTTCACAGTATTCGTCGATAATAATAATTAACATCACGTTGTTTTGTATTTTTCAAAACATACACCTTCTGCTCTCGGAAATATTTGTTTTCAGTGAATTACGAATTTGAAATGTTTGATGGCACGGTGAAATTTGAAAAGTAGGCCCTTCGCACGGTATTCGACCTGCGACTAGTACAGTGTAATTTACAATCTCTTTATACGGTTATTACCGGATTTAACTTCACAAGACAGTAAAATTTTAGTGGATGTAAAAATAACATTCCTTGTGACTTTAAAAATTATTTGCCGCATTAAATCCAAACTTCTACGTACAGAATTAACTGGTGCATACAGTTTTTAACCAACAATAAAAACCAAAACAGCCCACCCAACGTATGCAAAAAAAGTGCTTTCGCGCCAGATTTCATCCAACTGTCTACGCAGCAATAAAATCGCATCGCCGGTCAAATTAACACCCGCTTGTCTATCTTTTCCAGCCGACTTCGGTGTGTCTGCTAAAAATAAAAGCACCATGCAAAAGCACGACACATTCATCGGAACGCCATATTGGATGGCACCAGAAGTCGTCCTCTGCGAGACGTTCCGCGACAATCCATACGATTTCAAAGTGGACGTATGGTCGATGGGCATCACCCTTATCGAATTCGCCCAGATGGAACCGCCCAACCACGAGATGTCTCCCATGAGAGTGCTGCTGAAGATCCAAAAATCCGACCCACCCAAGCTCGAACAGCCGTCCAAGTGGTCGAAGGAATTCAACGATTTCGTTTCGACTTGCCTGATCAAAGATCCGCAAAAGAGACCGACTTGCGATGAGTTGCTGAAACACCAATTCATTAATTGTACTCTGGATTCGAAACCCATCAGGGACTTGCTCCTGGAGTACAAGGCGGAAGTCGTTGAAGAGGAACTGACGGATGACGATCCTGAGGTGAGTTGGTGTGGATTTTTGTGGGTTGTGTGTCTGTGGCAAAAAAAATATATCACGGTTTTCTTAAGCTTTGTGTACATAATTTCATGCTTAGCGGGGTAGGAAACATCGTAAACACAAAGAGCTGTATCAGAGAATTGGTAAGTGCGAAGAAGAAGAGTGTTTGACGAAAATTATTCGTTTGGTTACAGTTTTTCTTTGGTTTTGGTTGCAGGGTATTCGTTTTTTGAAGGTGCACTTTTTATTTGAGAAGTTGTGTATTTTGTACTAGAGTTAACTATTTTTTCGTGTAAGGTTGTGCCTGTTTTCGTTTTTTGAAAACATGCTGCGGAATGAACTATTGTAACATTAAATGTTGTGCGAAGTGTTTCGAGAAAAGGAGATTTTTAACAATTTTCAAAATTATTAAATATATGTGCTGGATGTGAAGTTAAGCTCTTCAAAAAAAAAAAAATCAAATCGAATATGAAATTTACAAGTTTTTTTTTATTAAACAGACGGATTTTTTTCTTTCGATTTTTTCAAGACAAACATTTTACACAGTATCGCCGATAATATTTTTATGTAAAATGACACATTTTCGAGTACTTATATCAAATTGTTGATATGATTGTTTTTTATAAATACAATATAATTGTCCGCTTTTTATCTTGTCATTGTGATAATTAAAACAAATCAGAAATATATAGATATATAATGAGCTCTATTTTTAAGAATATGTTTATAATTTAAATTTTGATAATTCGATTTTTTTTCTCTAGAAAAATAAATTTTCGTTATGATCAAATATAAAAAATGCCTACCTTGACAAATTTAACTGCCACCGCTAGTTTTGGAGATAATTGCAATTAAATTTTATATAAAAACTATTTCGTAATGGGAGTTCCATCCAAATTTTTTATTCTACGTTTTACAGATATACTATTTAAATTCGAAACGCCTACATGAATCATTAAATGTGAAGTGAACCATTGAAATTTGTTTAGATTGTAACGAAACTGAAGAGTTTTACAGGTTCACACCAATTTAGTTTCTTCAATTTGTTTTGGTTTTTATAACATAAGGCAGCAAAAATCTTACTTTTGATAAACACAAACTGTGAAAAGTACATAAACTTTCATAATAAATTCAAGCACTGATTTCTAAAATAAATTTACTTTTCTTACAAAATGAATACAATAAATGAATGAATCAAAGAAGATTAAAATTGTCGTTATTTTTCAAAAAATATTCTTTTTTTTTTCTCTCTAAAAAGAATATCAGCTGGACTCTTAAAATTCGTACTTGCATTTGTGACATCTGTTTTATAAAAGTACCGAAATACATTTTAAAGTAGTAGTACAAACAAAAATATACAAAAGTTACTTTGCAAATAGTAAGTAACAGTTTAATATCTTAAACCTGCTACATATTCATAAAAAAAATAACAATAGTTGTATAACAGGGTTATGAACTTTACATGATCATGCTGACAAAATCTTTAAAAATTGTATCATATATTTTCACCATGGAGACGTGCACCAAACTAAACATGTTGAAATATTTGTGTTGGAGCTATAAATCCTCAAATGCGTGACGAACTCGATAAGAAACAACGAATTTAAATTCACCGTTTGACTCTAATTTCTCACCATTTTCAGTAGTTAACCCGAATTATTTTTTCTTTTCTTGTTTTTCTTTATACTATTTATACTTCGCCCACTTTTTAGTATGCGTTTCTTTAACCTTCCTTCGTTTTAAACATTTAGGCCATTCGATATCTGATGTAGCTCCGTTTTCTTCCTGTTAGACTTCAGATGTTATTTTTGAACCATTTCGACGTCCAGCTTTAAATTTATTCTTGTGTCACACATTTCTTAACACAAACACTGCACGATTTAGCTATAAACACGAAATCCAAAGCACAAAAAGTTAATTAAAAAAATCCCAATGCGGCAAGTCCTAAATCCGCCAACGATTGTTTGGTATATTGAATGTTCCTGTCTATGTAATATGAAAGTAATTGGCTGAAGATTTTACAACAATTTCAAAAGATTTATACTGTCGACAATATTTTTTATTTTTGAAACATGTTAATATATTTAAATGTAATTTTTGAAGTTTGTGTATGAGGTGGTGATTACAAAGTACTTCAAAACAATAATTTTCCAATTAAGTGTTCCTATGAGGTGTAAAAGAGTGAAGTTACTTTGTTACTAAGCAACACCAATTCCGTGTAGTGAATACATTTGCAGTTTGCAGACATTTTAGTAATAACGTCAACAGAATGTAATTTATTGTACCTCTAAAAATAACCGCAGTAATAATCAGATCAATCTTTGCAATCTTTGTAGTTGATACCTGTCAAAAGCTATAATCACTTTTATACTGATAGAGTTCCTTCGTAAATATTAAAATTCTGACACAGCTTTATTGAATTTTCCTAAAAAATAGGATTCTATGTTTTGGAGATTTTTTTGAAAATAATTCATAAGGAATTTTTACTTGAAAATTATGTCCTTAGCATTTATCGTTGTTTTGAACGGTTAGTTCAACGCCTTGTTAGAGGTTACACATTAATTTATCACCACCCAGTATTTTTTTCTTTGATATCGTGATCCAGGAATCGAAAACATGTTGTCAGAAAAGGGGCAATAGATCACTATTTGTTATTAAAGTTTTGTAAAAATATTTTTTGCGTGTAACCGGTATTTTTAGGTTCCCCTATACTACACAAATAGTTTTATTATCAACATCGATTTTACGTCTAAAAAATAAATTACGAGAACATGAAACGTTTCTTGTGAATTATTTTTCAGATGTTTGTTACTCCTGTCGCGTTAAGTTTCACTTCTGAATAAATTACTGTAGTTTTACATACCATTTATGATTTACAACTTTGTACAATCAGAAAATTATAGGCACTGTCGTTTTTACGCTTCAACTTTTTTTCTTTTTTTATGTGAGATATGTGCATAGAATCCAAAAAATGTAAACTAATTTATTGCTGAAGTACGTAGTTAACAGCTTGTTGGGTTCTTCGCGCAGGAGATGTACAGGATGATCTGTCAAATATTTTCCACTTTTCAATAATTTTGTGAATATATTTGACGAGAGTTCCCGTTGTCAAAGAGAAAGTAACTATTATCATATTTCGTGTAAGCTGAAACTTTAGGTTTTGTAGTTTATGGCAATTTGAACAGTAAGTAAACTTAGAATCTACAGCCAAATTTCCCATTTTATTGGTACCTTTGTGTTATCACGGCTTGTTTGTTATGCATGCGGCTCTCCGGGCCCTCCTTCGCCTGGCATGTTGGCCCAGGTGAGAAATTGGCTTAAGCTATTTCGGCTTAGTACTTTAGTTGACTAGAATTACTAAAGTTTTGTCAAAGAAAGGATTATTATTAATCGAGGGAAAATTTTAGGACAACCGCACCTCTCAAGTTCCTCTGGATATAGAAGATGACTCCACTTCCGTAAAGAGCAGCGAAGTTGACAATAAAGGTAAGCAAAATCTAAACGCATATTGATAAATGTTAAGTACGATTATTTGTTATAGTAAATGACCTAGAATCTCCCATCATTAACGTAGAAACAGAAGAAACTATTAAAGAAAAAGCATCTAAAGAAGACTTGACAGATTCAACGACGACGGTAGCAAGCAGCGCATTACAAAGTGATAAAAAACAGGTAATAATATTTTTATTGATCGTTTCTAGATTATACCGTGTTATTAACTTCCATTTTACGAATTTTTATTATGATTATGTCACAATAAAACATTTATCAACCGGCGATAAATAACACGCCAAACGTAACAGCTTATGACGTCATCAACATTTTTTTTTAATGGGACTACATAATATTTTCCTCATTTTGGTGTCATTTTTACCTACCTTTTTTTCTAAAATAGGCTTTGTGATATTTTTAATACCCAGGAATTGTATGTATAATGTAGTTTTTGTATCATTAACGCAATTGAAATATAAAATTTAATTATTAAAAGAATGTGAAGTGGGAAGGGTGTGTATTTTTGCGCATTACTTAATTATATATTTTGTGTTTTCACAGGTCGATAAAAAAGACGACGCTCAACGAAGAACCTCTCGTGATAAAGGAAAAGCGCCACTGCCTCCAATCCAGCCCCCGGCACAACCCTCATCTTCTACAGAAAAACCGCCACCAGCACCCGTTCCTCCTGTTGTCATTCCCAATCTTCCAACACCTCCATCTTCTCCTATCACACCTCCAGCTACTCCGCCACATTCTAGTCCGATACATCCAAATGCCGTTAATGTCGATCCTGATCAACATAACGAAGCTGAGGTGAAGGATGTGGAGAAGGTAGAGATGAAGGATAGTGTTGAAAGTATTAAAGAAGTTTTGGAGAAGCAGTTGCAGAAGAGACAGTCAGACGAGAAAATGCAGTATGGTGATGTGGCTGGTAGTGATACTGTGACTGTTAGCGGTAATACGGCGACGCCATCACAAGGTGATAATGTTGGTAATTTTGTGGTGGTGACGCAATCGGAAAGGAATAAATTAAATACGTCGACTATTACAATTAATTCTGATCTTCCGGATCTTTCCAACAGTTTAGCTTCTAATATAAGCCAGGTAAGTTTATTTTGTGTATGCAATTTGGTGAAAAAGTTGTATTTTTATACACAGTACACCTTCTAGAATAATAATAATATCTTTTCTACCACAACAGTGAACACGGCACGTTTCAACAGCTACGCTGCCTTTTCTCGGAAGATAACAGCATAACTGTCGAAACAAGGTGTTAAAATTTTGCGATGTTTCGGGAAAATTCTCTTCTATTTTTAACTCTTCCTTGACGTTCTACAATTGACTGACAGAACTGTGATAAAACTAAATTGGCATCTTTAAAAAAACATGACAAATCTTTGTGCTTTTAAAAATAGTGTAGATGTGACAGACATGACACAGTCATAATCACATAATTACGACTTTTATTAGTATGGAACTGTCGTTACTGCTTAAGGGCCGTTTTACACGTGACAGAATTACTCCGAAAATTATGATTATTGCACTCACATATCACATGATATCAACTGACCAATCAAACGTGTCAATATTTCTAAAATCAACCAATCAGCATTCAATTAGGAGATAATTGCACACTATGCAATTATCACTGGCGATAATTGTCACTAGTCTTATTTACGCGACGTCAATAAGTATCGCACAACAAACTACTTCGTAAATCATTTTCAAATTACTTTTAATATGTTTGTTCGCACAATAATCTGTTCAATAATCTCTCGTTTTCAATGCAGCAAGCATTCGACTTATTGTTGCTCAAAATTATCGATAGTATTGTGATGCATTTAATACTTTCTAACTGAAAATCACTATCAAAATTTATGAAATTTTCAAGAAAAGTATTGTATATTTTGATGGTAAATTCCGCAGATGTTCAAAACGTAAACACATGGTCATTCGCACTTTACCATCAAAATATAGACATTTTTCTTGCAAAATTTTCAACAAATTTTAGTAGCAATTTTCGTTGTATATTTTCGGAGTAATTTTGTGACGTATAAAACGGCTCTAATATATAGATTTGTAATTTTTGAGATTGATATTACAACTACATAACTAGTAACTGCTATTACTATGTAATTAATTAATAAAAACGCTTTTCTTGTATGGATAACTAGATTGATCGTAGTTTATAACCACCCAAAAATGCTTCATTCTTAAAATGCATTTAGAGGAGTCCCTACTTTTGGCTCTTGTGGGGTGTTCAATACATTTCAGAATGTAATATCTTCGGGACCTTCACAAGAGCAGTTTTTTTTTTTAATAATTTATGACTTTTAAATTTTGGTGAAATGTTTGTATCACATTTTTAAAAAATCAAAATCTCCATTATTTATGGAAATTTCGGAACGCGGTTTTCACCACTGTTTTCAACTTACAAAACTCTAGAAATTACAAAAGAAACTTTTTTTGTCGAAAGTAAAATGCAGTAAAAGCAGCTTGTGGTGAAAAAACCGGTTTTATTGTATATCCTTTCTGAGTAAAAAGTTGGCAATATTTTTTTTTTAATAGTGGAGGTATTAGAGTCTGGACATGTATTGCACACCCCATGAAAGCCAAAGAAATATAGGAATAATAATAATGTATATTTGCCTTTACGTGCAATAAATGTTTACATGTGTTTACAATTCAATTACATTAATTCAAAAATTGATGATAAGAGTAGCAACTTTTTGTAAACAGAAGTTTCCGATTATAATTTGTTATCAAGTACGTCTGCATTAAACCTACTTTTGCTAAGTCGATAAAAATATATTAAATTTTTGGAAATTCAAAAGGACAATTTGGATTTTTTTTTTTTTAGTGTTTTATATGTAAAAATCGTATGTGCATAGGAGTGGACGGACTTGTGTATAATACTCATTCCGAAAATTTCAGTTTAAAATTTTGATTTTTTTTTTCTGGAGTTAATTAAAAATTACAATTAATTCTAGGAACATATTTGTTTTATTTCGTTGTTTCTAAAACATTTTAGTGTTTTTTGTTTTTTTCAAACGTGCTTTCGACACCAAATATTTTTGTACACAAAAACTGGTCGTCTACTGTTGGAGTCCTTATGACCCTTGGCAAAAAAAAGGAACCTCACCTTCAACTTGAACTGTAAAAGCAAAGTAGATATAGCATTATTATGATTCATGTGCAAAACCATACGTCAACCTTTTAATTAAAATTAGTTCGATATTCCTAAATTTTTCCATGATTTCTATTTAGTTTGACCGGGAATTTTAAAATGGGCGATATGGTCTAGATTAAAAAAATAGAATCTTGTGAAAGTCGATTTTTTACTATTACACATTTTTAAAAATTTTGGTATCTCGTTGTCATGGAAATAACCTATTTTACTTCAGTCCCTTGAAATTAAATGATCCACTTCAGTCCCGAGACTGCGAAAAGTATACAGAATACAGGGTGCATCACAAAAAGGAGATAAAATGTTAACTAATATTGTTGTTGTATTTATTTCTTTTGAAAAATTGTGTTCTATTTGATAACGGATTTCTTATGTACATATTTTTAAATTGTAATTCGAAATATGAATTACATGTTTCTCCTTCACATACAAATATTTCATAAAAACGTTTGAACTTTTTTTTCCAATCAATGAAAACATTTGAAAACTAAATTATTCTAAAATTACTAAGTTAAATATTAAACTATGATAAGAGTGATTTTGGCAAATGACATACTCGTTAAAAAAATAAAGGGTGGGTGGGCGGTGCTAGTATTTGCTAACACAAATCTGATTTTGGCAAATGAAATACCCTCTAAGAAAATAAAGGACGGATGAGCGGGGCTAGTACTTGCTAAGATATGACTGATTTTGGCGAATGACATACCCTCTGAGAATAGACGACGGGTGGGTGGAGCTAGTATTTGATAAGATGATTTTGGCGAAATACCACCCTTTCTTCACATCTAAACTGAGCAGTACATTCATTAATTCATCCCTAGCAATATAAATAGAATTGAAATTGTGCATAAAGTCCATTTGGTCAACATTATAATTGTTTACATTTTGACTATTGATTAGTAGATTTAAAGTGGCAAAGGCCCTAGCTATACTGTCATATTCAATACATTTGTCAAACATTACTTGTAGAATTATTCTAAAAGATTTTTTCTGTGATTTAACTAATTACTATAAGCTTGATCTATTTGTCGTTTACATTTAAATATATAGTATAGTATAGCAAAAGGAGTAAATTAAACAAATAAAGTTGTCACAAAATTAATTGTACAAACTCACAGCACAGTTGTAAAATAGATATACTGAACTAAGTAAATGGTTTATTTAGAACAGATTGTATCAACTTATTGCATGTTAGTTGTTTCAGACAACAGTTAAAAATAGTATCCTTTACTATTACTATATATTTACTATTATCCACCTATAGATGAAAAAAAAATACAAATTGTGAAAAAATCTTACGTGATGGATTTTTTAAATATTTTTTCCTTTTTCAACACCAAAAAGTCACTAGATAGATTCCAGACAATTTGGCCTGTGAATTAGACCCTAATTTTTCTTCTCATATAAAAAAAATACGGGAGCGTGCCCAAAACGCAGTATCAAGATTGGTTCTCATTAAATTTGTTTATAACCACCAGAACTCTTTTAATTAAAACCCCACCCCACATATTTGTATTATTACGACTATCGATGCCTACTGAAAATTCACAAACATCGAAAACGTTTTAAACCAGTCAAATTACGTTTGATGGTTTTATCTCGGATGTTGGATAATTAATTTAATGTTAAGAAATCACTGTTTTGATTAAAATGTTCAATGAAACGGGAACAATGAAATCGAGTAAAAGTTTAGTCTTCGTTGTCTCACATACCAAGAGCCCACGTAAATTGATAAATTCTCATTTATCAAGAGACCATGAACGATGAGTTTGGTATGCTCACATGTCCAACGTTTATTGGGTGATATCGTCATCACACAATTTAGCATGTGATTTATATTCATTAAATTTTTTTTAAATTGACAAACATGCAATTTACATCGATGTGCTCTATTGTGGTCAAATTAAAACTTCTCTTTAACCGGGAAAAGATAAGAAATCTAAATGAAGACTATGGCCACTTTCACATAATAAATTCACTTTTTAATAATTTTATCCTTCTTCAAAACTAGTCAAAATAATGTAGGATTTTTTTTTAACGATAAAGTTTTGACAGCATTCGTTCCATTATATCCTCTATCAATTATTTATAATTTTTAAGTCTTGCTGTTTCCATAAAGAATTGTTTCATTTTCTTCTATTCTAATCTAGCTCCATACGACTAGCATCACACTATAACTGCAACCACTTAATCATTTTTACTTATTCAAACTAAAACAGCAAATATTTCATACTCAGCATTTAACTTTTGTTCCCAGGTAACCGTCGTTACCACGCATCCGCCCGTGATCATAGACAATACTCAATGTCTATCAAGATCTTCAACTTCCCCTAGTAATAGTACAAACGAAGTGGTAATAGTAGCAAATGAAACAAACAAAACTCACTTAGAGTCCTCCGACGACGAATGTTACCCGTCTCTCGATTCGCTCGAGTACCCCCCACCTACCGAATTCCGAGACCAACGTCCACAAAAAACCAAAAAACTCGACGAGAGCGAAGTATTAATAGTCGATTCGAGTTACGTCATCGACTCCGGACTAGAAGTTTCCGACGAAAATTCCCGCCTCTTGGACACTAGTCACGTGTCAGTTGTGAAAATCGACGAAGAAAAAGTTCAAGTCAAAGATTCCACTTCGTACTTGAGCGACAAGTCCGGTGAGAACTTCCGAAGTTCGACGAGCGATTTGTCGAACGCTTCGTCGTGTAAGACCGGAAGTAGTAAGAGTGACTTCGGGGATGAAGTCAGGACGATCACTTTAGAAGGGTCGCAGTTCAAGATGAACGGACAAATCGTGCATTCACCGAGTCGAGACGACATTTACAAGAAGAGTAGTTTGAACGGGAAAGCCTACACTGACAGTTACGAGTCCGCGTTGAGTGATAGATCGCATAGTGACTGTGGGTCTGTACGCAGTAACGATTCCCACAGGAGACCGGTTTCGTCGAGCAAGAGCATCGAACATTCGGACGTTGAGAGTTTATCGATTGCTAGTCATGAGAGTCGCGGAAGCAACGGAAAAGAAGCGAAGAATGATAGGTTGATGGAGTTAGAGGAGAACGACGATCCTGTAATCTTGAGGAAAAGACCTGCGAAGTCGAAAGAAACTACATTGTCTAACCTCAATAGAAAGACGCGAAAGAGGACAAGGAAGTTTGTTATAGATGGCGTTTTAATCACGACTACTACTAGCAAAGTGATCGGTGATGAAGAAGACTACAACCTTGCTGACCTCCACAACGACAGGAAGCAAGAATTGCGCGAATTAAAGTACTTGCAGAAACAAGAACAGAAGCAATTCCAAGATTTGGCGATGAAAGAGAACTTGACTTTGGAGCAACAAGACAAGAAGTTCGAACAAGAACGAATTACTCTAGAAAGAACGTACGAGAACGACTTGGAGATGCTCAGTCGACAACAGAGAATGCAAATCGAGAAAGCCGAAGCTCACCAAGACGCCGAGCTAAGGACAATGTCGAAGAAAATCCGCGCCGAACAAGAACGCGAATTGAAACTTTTCCGCGACGGGTTAAAACAAGAACTCCGACTACTTAAAGCAGAGATCGACCTCTTACCCAAAGAACGTCGCAAGATAGAGTTCAAATTACGCAAAGAGAAAATGGACGCGGATCACTTGGACCGCGAGAAGGGTTTCTTGGAGAAACTGAACGAGAACCACGAAAGTTCGTTGAGGCGCTTGAGTGACTCTCATCGCGAGAAGATCGCGCTGATGGAGAGGCAGTTCTTGCAGCAGAAACAGCAACTGACGCGGACACGGGAAGCGGCGCTGTGGGAGATCGAAGAAAAGCAAATCCACGAGAAACATCAATTGATGAAGAGGCAGATCAAGGAGATCTTTATTCTACAGAGGCATCAGATGTTAACGAGGCACGAGAAGGAGAAGGAGCAGATTAAGAGGCGGGCGGCTCGAAAGGAGGAAGAGTTGTTGAAGAAGCAGACGGCGGAAAAGAGGTCGCTGCCGAAGAGGATCAGGGCGGAGAGGAAGGCGAGGGAGCTGATGTTCAGGGAGTCGATGAGAATCTCGATTTCGGGGGCGAATGATCCGGAGGCTGAGAAGAACAAATTTAAAGAGGTAGGTTAATAAGTATTGTTACGATGAGAGTAATTGGGTAAAATTCAACAATTTATTTCTCGATAATACACGATTAACTGACTGAGACTAGGGTGCTCCCGACAGTGGTCTCTATTTAAACAGCCGTACGTTTCTGGAGAGATCGCGATCGCTGCTTTCGAGATTGTTCTGTAGTCGACCATCGAGACTTTCGGCTGACTGCCCCTAGGCAGCTCTTTAGTCGAACGGGGCCGTCACCGGTCATCGCCGTACATACTAGAAAACCCATAGGCGGGGCGGCGTATGGATTTAATTCGTAACACTACCCCCTCCTTAGTTCTGATCGACCCGATCAGAAACGTCAACGGTGTCACTGTTGTACTTCATGAGGTGGTCTAAATTTTCATTTTCGTCACGACAGTATACGGACCTTCCCAGTCTGGTGGCAACTTCTGGAAACGACCTTTCCTTCTTCGGGGGTTATAAAGCCATACTAAATTTCCTGTCTGGAATCCTAGTTATCTTTAAGGTCGTAGCGTGTTTTCATTTTATCACTCGTTACCAAAATCTTGTGGCGCACCATTTGGTGAACGCTCAACAACTTTTCCTTCAAGCCGTCGGTGCAATCTTTGGCCTCCTTTGATTCTTCACTTGGAGAAGCCGAACAGTATGTCACAAGGTAGACGAAGTTTTCTCCCGAAAACTATGTGCGCTCTGGTATCTAACCTGTTGTGTCATGGATAGCTGATCGATAAGCCATCAGGAACAGTGGAAGGTGTCTATCCCAATAGTGTTCAGCCACCACTTTCGAATGATGTTCTTCCATGGTATGATTGAACTGGAATTGTCTTCCACATTCCGCGTAACTCGGTGACTTTTTGGAATAGCTTTGAGTCGAAACTTCTGCCTTGACCCTAATTCATTTCCATTGGGACCCCAAACTTGCAGATCCAATTGTCAACTAGCACCCTTGCAACTGTGGGGCTTTCTTGGTTCGGTATGGTATAAGCTTTCCGATATAATCACTGCCGACCATTGTGTACTTATTTTCGTACTAAGTCGCTGGTGTTCCCGGTCCGGGTCGGCGGCAAGATCGAGGAGGACACTTGAGGGTCGAGCCGTGAAAACGGCCGGTCCAAGAGGTTGCGAAATTCTGAATGTTGCAATGCGGTGGTGAAGTAAAAAGACGTTTTATTTAGAAAAGGGGGCCCCTGGACCTCGGCGGAGTCACCGGCAGAATTCTCCTGGATGCTTCTACCCTGGTCGGCGCCTTGGTCCCGACTGCCGCGAGTCTCAGCTCTGATCGCTGTTTTTATTCGTGCGGTCGGATAACGCCTTCCACGGCCACTACTCGCATATCTCAGCGCCCGATTGGCCGGCGCACGGAGAAGAGCTGAATTCAGGCCGCCGATTGGCTGCTACGATTCGGGACAGCAACCGCGACTTATTTCCCGTCTTCTTCCTCCGGTTACACTGGGAAAGGACCCACCATGTCCACTGGAATTCTTTCAAAAGGCGAACCGACGTTGCATTGTTGCTAGGGCTTTGCTCCATCACCACATAGAGACAAACAGAAGATGCCAACTTAACGGCGATTAAATCCGGTAGGCGAATTGGCAATATAAAACTCGGATCCGCACTCTTTCTTTTCGCTATACGGTCCCGGTAATTTTGACAGGAAACCAAATAACTGTCAAAATGGCAACAAAGTTATAACCTTTTATTAATCCATTCAGACTACATCGTGAATCAAATTCCCCATTACAAACATATATAAAAACACATGTTAAATATGATCAAAACACAAAAATATCGTTCGGTACGCACATCGCTCTGAGAGGCACGTCCGAGTAAAAAAACGTTCCAAAATTGGAGTCATGGAACACATAAGACAGAACACAAATTCAGCATAAAAGTACCCTTCCCTCTTGGCATTCCCGATGATATTTACTCTACTGATAATTTCCAAAGGAAAGCAATGTTTATTAAATCGTAAATACTGCAAGTTACTATTTTAAAATTCCCTAAATTATTAAATTTAAATAATGTTTAAGTTATAAAAACCCTCCTTCCCCTTAGACCTTTCACAATTTAAAAAATCTACCCCATCTTCTTTCCGTTTGAGCAACAGCCCGACATCCAAGTTCTCTTGGCCTTTCCTAAGCTAATGGACGTCTTCTACGACTGTTGTCGTCCCACAATTGAACGAGGTTTCCCGCTGCTCGATCTTGTCGCAGTGTTTGCAGTTCTTACACGGTCTTCTCGACAAAGAATCCGCATTATTGTGGATCTTACCAGCCCTGTGTCAAATCTTGCAAGTGATATTGTTGGAATCGTTCAAGCCATGTATCTATTTGTTCTTCGGGATTCTTCATCTGAAGGAGCCATGTGAGGGCTGCGTGATCGGTTCTCATCAAGAATTCGCGTCCATAGAGATACTTGTTCTTCTCGGGTTTCGAAAGTCCGCTGCTGACATACTAGATGACTTTTTCTTCCGTATCCTGCACCTATTCCGATGTTATTCGCGTCTGTATCCAAGATAAACATTCCCGACGATTGAGGGTAGGACAGAATAGCACTAGAGCATGGTGCATTCTTTAATCTTCTGAAGGCGGCTTCACATTCAGGAGTCCAATTTCAAATCCGTCAACCTGTGCAAAAGAGCAGCGATGCAGCAAACCCGTCGACAAAGCTCCTTTAGTATGTGCATAATCCCAAGAAACTCCGAACTTCGTACTTATCCTGTGGTCTTGGCCAATAACAATTGATCTTCATTCCCGTAGTCTTGATTCCGTTTGCCGAAACAGTATGCACCAGAAATTCTACTTCTTTTTGGAAGGGGAGCCACTTCTTCTGATTTAATTTCAAATTTGCCGCCTTCATTCGCCTAGATAGTTCTTGTAGGGTAGATAAGTGCTCCTCGAATGTCTTCCTCATTAGCATGATGTCGTCTAAATAAACCAATCATGTCTTCCATGTTAGCCCTGGTAATACCATCTCCATTAGTCTCTAAAAAGTAGGCGGAGCATTGCACAGTCCAAAAGGCATTACGGACAAACCACTCCCTTCTCTTTATCTGCTGGGTGGATACCAATTTGCCTAGTAGCCGCTTTGAGGATCCAACGTGGAGACCCAGGTGGATCCCGATGATGTTGTGAACGTGTCAGTTTATGGAAGCGGATAATTGTACTTCTTAGTTACATTGTTTAGTGTCCTGTAGTCTACGCAAAATCTTGTCGGCCCGTCCTTTTTGGTGACTAGCACTACAGGTGGAGACTATGGACTATTTGACTCCTCTATAACGCCTTCATCCAACATTTTTCGGCTTTTTGTTTTGCCAAAGGTAATCTTTACGGGTCTTGACGGATTGGTTGCGTATTTCTACAGATACTCATTAATCAACTCGGCTAGATTAGAGTAGAGTAGCCTGCTCCTGACGGTGATCCCTATTAACCCGATTAAACAGCCGTACGTTTCCGAAGAGGTCGCGATCGCTGCTTTCGAGGTTGTTCTGGAATCCACCACCGCGACTTCCGGCTAACCGCTTCCAGACTTCTTTAGTTGAACGCGGCCGTCACCGATGATGAGTCACCGGTCATCGCCGTACATACTACAAAACCCATAGGCGTCGTACCGGGACGGCGTATGGGTTTACTTCGTAACAGTATTCTCAAAATAAATATGCTATATGCAAGCAAATAACGGTTTATTTATTCACTATTTATTTGCCTATTAAATCGTTCATTTTATTCCGCTTAGTTCCAAGAAAAAGAAAACAAACGTTACCAGGCCGAGCAGCAACGTTTCGAGCTCAAACACCAACGTCAGTTGGAAGAACTGCGCGCGATGAGTGATGCCACAATCAAAGAACTTGAGCAACTCCAAAATGAAAAACGCAAGATGCTCCTCGAACATGAAACCATGAAGTTAAAACAGCGAGAAGAAGCGTTTAGTAAAGAGTTAAAAGAGTGGAAAGCACAGTTACAGCCAAGAAAACGAGTAAGTTTGTTGAAATTCAGTGTACCGTATGTACGTATTATATGTAATGTGTTGAATTTAAGTTTTTCTCACTAACTTTATTTTTAATTTGCATGTGTCTTGCACATTATTAACCTTGCATGCATTCTTATAGAAACTCGAAGAGGAGATGCACAGAGAGTTGATTACGTCGGATTTCGCCCAATATTTACCAAAATTGCACCTTACGGGAATGAGCACTTCTTCATCCACCGATCAGGATATCCAATTCCCTCCAGATAGTCCTCCCACTCCCTTATTCACACTTGCACAACCTAGTTGGGGTTATATTAGACCGTGGATTAACGATCATTCTGAACATAGGCGCAGTGTTTACCTACCTTCGAATCCTGAGGATGACTCTGCTGTTTAGATTTATCCATTTTTGTGTATATGTGTGTGTGCTGTTTTTATAGTTGCTTTTTTGCCTTTGTCTTTCTCTTATTATTTATTCCCTTCACTGAATTTGCAGTGGAACACGTAAGGTTGGTTGATCTACTAACAGTCTACGTATATTTGGTGCCTAAAAAGAGTTTTAGTTTTCTGGTACATTTTTAGACACCAAGTACAAATTGCGTTTCTAGTTTTCGTATTATGACATAAAAATTTGCTGCTTAGAAACTGGAGGAGACGTTTGCTCAGCAACTAGAAGAGCAAGAACGGGTCTACGGCCCAGTTTCCACTCCTTTGGTTTTACCACCGGACTTGCCAGACTTGAATCAAGAAAATTGCAACGTCGGCTTAGGTTCAACACGAAGTAGTTTGTCGTCCGTTTCGGAAGGATAACTGCTCGTTAAACAGTATACTCCAAAATGTGCCTCTGTAGATCCAGGGCGAACATTAATTACCTTACTCGTGTACATATTTATTACACAGACTGAAAAATCATTTAAGAGATTATATGAAATGATTTGTTTTTTGTTTCTTTGAAATTGAATTAAAAAAAATCGAGGTGACCTGATAAAGCTACTTAAATTTGGAATGCGTATTGTAAAAATTTAAAGGGAGAAATATTTTTCAGGTTGTTTACTGAAAAAATCAACTATCGTTAGCTTGCTTGCGATTTAAAATACTAGATTAGTTTTACGGCATTTTTTATAAAATATTAAATAAGGAATTTGAGGAATAAATTGTGTGCATTTATAATGAACAGACTGACAGGTTACACTTGTTATGTTGTGAAAATTTAGTAAGATTATACTAATAGTTCAAAACGTGTATCATCTTTATATTAAGTATGATTTTCTTAAGAGAGGTATCAATCTAACAAATGCTGATTATTTAATTATTTAACATAATAGTTTATATTGGGATTGTTTGAGAATTTATATCATACGCTTGCACTACTCCAGTCTGATGTATAAATACTATGATTAGTCTATGTTATTTAAATACTAAATTTTTATCAAGTGTATTCTAAGGTGTATATATGAAAACCTGATCTAACTCTAAGTTGACAAGGGCAGTGTGATTTTATCGTCTATATTTTGCCAATTATCATACTGTTCTGTATTATTATGATGTACAGTCAGTGTATTTTATTTTTATGTGCATATTTACCAGTAACTATTCAAATAAATAATTTAAATAAGACCATAACTGTTGTATTTTTTTTCTGCGTCTGCGTTTGAACGTTAACAAGTGTTTAAAAAGGTATGGATGGAACAAAAAATTGCAAAAATTGCACATACGTGTTTTGATGTTTATTTTAAACTTTTGCAAACCACCGCTGGCAGTTTCCAATTTTTGGTTTTCTTCAATCTGATGAAATCATACAAACAAACTACCATAAACATAACTAGTTTAGCTATGTCTGGGGGTTAATGGGAGTAAAACTTTAACTTCCTAATACTGAACGTTTTTTTACACGTTATTCTAGCCTGGTATTAATTTAGACAATAAATAAAAGTTGACTTCTTAAAGAAAATATGTACAGTAAAATCCTATCAGAACGAAATAGAAAACAAGCCTTATGTACACGATGCTGTATCTACACTTTTGGCAAAATATTTACGGAGAAGCGGCGGCAATTTTCTCACAGATCGCATTAGTAAATTCAGAACATTTAGCTTTTCCACCCAAGTCTCCCGTCAGAAATTTCGCTTCCTTGATTGTCGCAAAGCATGAACTCTCAATTATATCCGCATGTTTGTTCAGATTCATGTATCTTAACATCATCACTGCCGATAATAGTAAGGCAGTAGGGTTGGCCAAATCTTTTCCGGCAATATCTGGGGCTGTGCCGTGTACCTAAAACATCACGATTTATAAGTGATTCTCACAAAAAAATAATTTACATACAGATTCGAATAGAGCGCCATTCAGACCAATGTTTCCGGAGGGTGTAAGTCCCAAACCTCCAACCAGACCAGCACACATGTCAGACAAAATATCTCCGTATAAGTTGGGCATTACCAGAACGTCATACTGGGTAGGATCCTGGACCATGTTCAAGCAAACAGTATCAAGATACTTCTCCTCAAATTTGACATCGGGGTACTTTTCGGCCATATCACGGCAACAACGCAAGAACAGGCCATCGGACATACGCCTAAACAAGTGTTAAATTATACTCGATTTGTAATTCACATATACAATATACTCACATAATGTTTGCTTTATGGACAGCTGTCACTTTATGCCTCTTGTTTTCTTTGGTGTACTGGAACGCGAACTCGGCCACACGTCTGGACGCGTCTTCAGTGATTAATTTTATACTTTGGACAACGCCGTCGACGATTTCATGTTCGATTCCTGAGTATTCACCTTCAGTGTTTTCTCTTATTGTCACCACGTCAACATGGTCGTATAATGTTTTGTATCTGAAACACAACCCTGAATTGTTTGATTTATCCAGATATGGTGCAAATTACCCTTCTAAGCTTCGGCAAGGTCTCACGTTAGCGTATAAATTGAATTCCTTTCTTAGAGCTAAATTGAGGGATCTGTGGCCTTTTCCAACAGGTGTCATTAGAGGGCCCTTCAACCCAATTTTGTTGCGGTTGACGGAGTCGATGGCGCTTTGGGGAATGCCAAATTTTCCGTCAGGTCCCTGTAAGTGAAAGAAATTGTTTTGATCCAATTAATGGTATATTACTTGACTGTACTATGGTGTCCCAGATATAACTCCGCGGCTTTATGTCTTAAAAACGGATGGAGATATTGAAATTCTGCAAACACCGTTGTTTTAAGCTTGAAAGGGGAAGTCTAAATTTAGTAGTATATATTTTTTTTAAACTGCAACGTATATATTCTTCAACTGATTGTAATGGATCATTAGATTACGATTACAATAATAAAAAATATTTAAGTGTTTATTTCATTTTCAGTAAAATGTATGAAAATAACAGTAGTGGACTCAAAAAAATTAATGAATGCGCAAATTTATTTTATACAATTAATCAGTAACTGCCAAACCGAATGCTTTGAAATCTTGGAGATATTTCAATGTTATCATAATCCTGGTAAATTTTTGATCAAAATGTATTTGCTCATCCCCCCTAAAAAAATGATGAAGTCACCTCAAAATTTTGGTGAAACCTTAAATGTGCAAAGTGTGATGAGTCAATATTTGTGATTTATCACTGCATTAATATTTGTTAGATTTGCTTAGATAGGGTGTCTTGAAAAAATTAATGACTGAGTCAAATTATTTTACTGATTAAACCAAGAATTGCAAAACTGAATACTTTGAAATCTTGCGAACGTTTTAGAATTATTGTAAGCATGGTGACTTTTTAATCAAAACGTATCTGTTTATCAGCTCCAAAAAATTGATATACGATATGTATCCATGCAAAAATGTTGATGACTTTATCACAAAATTGTGTAAAGGAAAAACTCAAATCGAAAATGCTGGATTTGCTTCATTGTACTTCAGAAGCGAGGGAAGTTCCATCCAATTTTTTATTTTGGAATATAACAGAATAATTATTTTAAAATACAATTCAATGAAATGACGTCATCAAATTGTTGGTGGGGATGACTATCCAAATTTTGGGTAGTATTTAACCATCTACATGATATTCTTAATATACATACAAAATTTGACAACAATCGGTCCAGCAGTTTCGGAGATTACTTGTCTAATAGACAGACAGACAGACAGACGGAAACGGCAGACTACTTTTTTCCTACTGTAGGGGTCATGAAACATCGAGAAAACATAAATATGGCACTTCGTTCGATGGACTCGATTACTATACTTCCTTAGCTTACGCTCGGGAAGTAAAAATGGTTGAAATTTGTGTTCGGGAAATTCAAATTTGAAGGCAGAAAAAATCCATCACGTCAGATTTTTGAGATATTCATATACCCACATATAAATTAATCATTTTATGACTCAAAATTAAAGATGATTAACACTAGTTTTTCTTTTATTGGCAGTACTGTCAGTTTCCCTTATAATAGACCAATAGTAATCCACCGATATATTTTCGTCCCAAAAACCTTGATACCGCTTTTGGGGCTATAATTTTACCACAAACATAGCAAAACCGATTTGAACTTACTTTGCACGAACTCGAAGATATTTTTGTGACAATAGTGCATTAACATTAACATGAATCAGTTTACACTGAGATGAATATTTTAGACAGGTAAAAGTAAAATTCATTATCTTGGATGTATGAAAAAACGTGACGTGATAAGGATTTTATTCACAATCGGTCAGTAAACTTTTTAAAAGTTTGGAAGTGAGCTATTACAAACTTCACTTCAATCCCAAGGGTGGTAAGTGACATATGATCTGTCACTTTCCACCCAAGAGATGGAAGTGAATGTTACTTTCAACTTTAAAACGTCACGTATGGTAGATGGAAATCAGCGATTATAAATGTAAGGAGACCCTGTGGTCAAGACTTTGCCACTTTTTGACTGATGATGATTTTTGATATTTTTATATACTATAGCCCTTTGAATTCTCCATCGTACGAAATTTTAAATTAAAGCTCTATATTGGCTAACTATTAGAATTTTTACTTCCCGACCGTAAGCTAAGGAAGTATTGTCTCTCCGGCGAATGGCTACTTTAATGTTTTATCGATGTTTCAAGACACCTAGAGGCATTGAGTATGAAACAACATGTCTCTCGATTCCGTCGGTCTCTCGTCCGTGTCGATTTTTATCACACATATACTGGAACGATTGTTGAAATCTACGACGTAACCTCAAAAGTGTGCATAGTAACCGGTATTGAAATTTTATAAAATAGCATACTCTTACAAGTGTGGATCCGATTTAATTTTTTAGCCCAGACATCCAGATTTTAAAATTTACTTTTGAAACTACAAAAACCAAATACCCTGAAATCTAAATACATATAACTATGGTAAATCTAAAATATGCAAAAATGAATCCATATTTGTGGTTTATCTATGCATTAATATTTTTTTAGAATTGCTTATACAGGATGACCCAAAAAAAATTAATGAAAGAGGTAATTTATTTTATTGGTCAAATCAAGAACGGTTGACCCCATTTTCCCGAAAATTTGACCACGTAACTAATACATTGTTGCTTACCTTTTTGCATTTTGTAGTATTTCTTGGTTCATACTTTTTTTATATAATGTCATTAATGTCTAACAATGAAGTTCAATTTTTTTAAATTATTTTTTTTTTGTGCCAAAAATTTCATTTACTTGCATATTGCATATATGTACTTGTAATTTATAATCCGTTGTTTAATTGAATTAAATATTCCGATATACTAAATCTCTTGTACAATAGTCTTCAATAGTACTGTACTTTATATCAATCGAGTGTCACGAAATTTCTTTTACAATTGTTGGTATTAAAAAAATCATAATTTACTACAAAAAAACTAATGATTTATTTTATAGATATTTTTGACATTGTTTACAAGTAACTATGGAAGTTCTATGTTACTATAGAAATGCAAACGCGTTTGATACCACTTCACTTATTGATTTTTTATGGCACTATATAATCACATATATGCCTTTTGACAATTTACAAAATCACTATTTTCTGAACTTTTTTTTTAAACTCTACATTTAGAACATTTATTTTTTTCTGAAATCTCTTGTTACATACCCATACTCCCCTAAATAGAAACCTTACCCTTTTACGACTTACATCAGAATATGATGATTTTTTTCAAATAGTGAGTTGTAAAAAATATGGTCACAAAAAGAAAGTGGTCCAGTAATAACGAAACGCTATAAAATTGAAAAATATGAAAACTTTCAACAACAAATGTGGCAACGATTTGTAAAACATGTTTGTAAAATAAAAAACGGAAAGGATGTCGTTTCTTCGCAACTTGGCACCAATCGTGCATTGCATTCGACCTTACTCAGCAATCAACCGTAGGAATTGTGCTAACATCCGGCCTTATCACCGTAAGTCGAATCGCGGTTTATTTTAATTGATTAAATTTTGCATAATGATTCACATTTTAGCAAACTATTTTACCAACATAAATATATATGTATTATTTTGTCGTAAACGTCACATTTACTCATTGAAATTGTATGTGAAAAGAGTGGACATGCATGCTAAACTGTAAATCCATACTTTTAATACATGGAACCAAATTTTCTACATTTTACTTATTTAATACAAAATCTAACGCATTCAGTTTTTTACGAAATAAACTAGGTGGATTTTAGAAAATTTGTCACTTTTATTTATGTTTTTAGTAATACATAATTATGGCTTGCTGTCATCTAGGTATCTTAGAAGAAACGAAATATGAACACAAAGTCAAAATATCATTTAAACGTGTTCTCTAGACTTTATGTAAAAAAAAAAATAGTAGCTCTCATAGACTATGGTGCTTGGTAACTGCGGTCTTCAATGTCAACAAAGGTCAAAAAAAGGTCAAGCAAAATTTTTAGCCCACATCACATTAATGTTTTACAAAAATAAGTGTTTTAAAATGAGAAAACTTTTTTTATTTAAACATGTCATTCCATATCAACGGCTGTTCAGGCCACCGTGTTCAGAAATCGAAAGTTGCGTTTTTTAAACACATTTTTAAAAAAAAGGAAAAGCGGGTAAGAGAAGGTGGTGTTAAAAATTCCATCATAAAGATAATTTACTGTTTTCTGCATGATATCAATTTTTTATGTTTGTCACACTGGAAATGACATACTGGTGACAAATTATAAATCATTTGCATCATCGCCAACTGCTTACCAATAAAAATACACAACAAATTCAGTTTTACTAATCAAGACACGAAAAAATCCCTACTTATAGAGAAACGGTTATTTGTGCCACCTGTTACAAATACATTTTTTAAAATCTTTTTTTTTAACTTAATTGATACAAAGTATTTGCACCCAATTCAAACAAAAACAACACATTGTACATGTACTTACCCTCACTGGTGTAACGTCCACGGACTCCCATTCGATGGGTACTTTGGCAGCCGCAAAAATCTTCTGTACAGCAGCGGAGATTTCCGGTCCTATCCCATCTCCCGGGATAATCGTACATTTTTTCACTTCGCTGCTGTAAAGCCTCGAGCCTACTGCACGTTTCGAAGCACTACTCTGTAATCAAAATGCATGTGATAAACTCTTAACCTAAAAGTGAAGACGTCAAGCATATTGAGTTATATAACTACTTACAAACTCAGTTTCTGCTGTATTTTTCTTATCTGTAAGCTGATCAAAAAACTTGCGGAGCCGCGGGAGGGTTCTACTTATGTTATTTAAAAAGGACTTTGTGAAATTGGCCATAATAGGAAATGGGGTTATAAATTAACGGCATGCACGTGATTATTATATTAATCAGTTAACTGATAAAACGCAATTAAGTAAAGTTAGATTTCGTAAAAACTTACAATGTTTTTCAAAATTCTTGCTGCCATTTTAACCTTCTCAATTTATTTTTGGTGACAGCGAATTTTTCGGCACCCTCCAAACCCCGGAGTAGGGCATTCACATACTGCGCAGCTGTGTGCGCAAATCGAATTTTTGACGACCGATTGGAAAACAATTAATTTGATAAACTGCAATCTGAATGAGATGTTGGATGCTAATTACAGATTTTTGACATTTTTTGTCAACGGCTGACGTTTGTGAATTTTGAAAAGGTGGCGTGGTGGCGTCTTTTTTGTATTTCCTTGACTTCCTTTAACGCGGTGTAAACTTCCTATTGAAAAAAAATCGGCTCCGTTTTCGACGCGTTTTCAGACAATTATAATAAAAAAAGTTATGGATAAGAGCAAAGAGGCGAACACCGACTGCAATTGCGGAAGAGAAATCGACATAATAGTGGACTTTGAACTTACCGCGTCGATATATCGTCGTGACAGTTTGACAGTTCAGTCAATCGAAATTACTCCGTATTGGAGGTTAGGATTGGATTCTCAGACAAGACACCGAAAACGCTCTATAGTTGTATCAATTCCTGTTGATTTTCCTCCTGATCCCCAAGAGTGGAAAGAATGGAGGGAGATGCGTACTACTGGAAGCCCCAAGAAGAGAAATTTCCGGGTTCTTTCTACGAAGAAGACTACAGTCAATTCCAGAACCAACAACTAGGTAGGTTTTTTAATTAACGAAAAAATACTCAAGTTGTATTGTAGATTTCAATCCTCTTGCTGATTACAACAACCAAGCACTCCCTGGAGATGTTTCCAAGATGTATGACCCAGTCTCATTCCAAAGTCCAGAATTTGAAGAGGAACCTCCCCTTTTGGAAGAATTAGAAATTTATCCTGACAGAATTGTACAGAAGATGTTGGCAGTATTAAATCCTTTTAAGAGTCATTGTCTGACAGATGATGCTGATTATTTAAACAAAGATCCAGATTTAGCAGGACCAGTATTTTTCTATTTAATTTTAGCAGTTTCTTTGTTTTTGTCTGGGAACAAAGCGCATTTTGGGTACATCTATGGCATATCTGTAGTTTCTTGTTTAATGATGTATAGTTTGTTAACTTTAATGACATCTCAGAGTGTCTTTAGTGTAACAACTGTTGCTAGTGTGTTAGGGTACAGTCTTATTCCTATAATTGCTTTATCAATGTTTGGAGTGTTTTGGTCATTAAGGGGTTTATTTGGTGCCATTCTAGCAACAATGGCTGTTGTTTGGTCGAGTGTTTCAGCATCCAGACTTTTTGTGGCCATTTCTGGCGATAAAGAACAACAGCCACTGATTGCTTATCCATGCGCACTTGTATCGGCTGTTTACGTTCTTATGGTAATTTTCTAATTGTCCTTTGTTTTTGTACGTTTTGAGTTATAAAATAAATGGTATTTATTGATTTTTATATTTGTTGGTGTAGATCACAGAACACTCACTAATTGTGTGTAGAGTGTAGTAAAGTGTAGATTACAGGAATCGTTTAATTATTAATACGGTTACAGTCGCCAGATGTCGCCACTTTCAAAACGTCATCGCTCATCCACTTCTGTCAAAATCTCGAGTAAAAAAGTAAACATTTTCCAGCCAAAAATGGCTGGATAAGAACCTTCGAAATCCCTTAGTTCAAATTTTAGTGCCCCAAGTACAAACAGACCAAAACCTAGAAAAATTCACGGAACAGTCAGTTTTTTTCGCGCGTTGATATTTAATAGAAACTGTGCTTTTTGTTAGTTGCGTCATGACATTCAGACCTTGACATCTCATCAAGGATTATTGGAGGTTTATATACAAAATTAATTTCCTTTTTATTTGCACTTGGACGTGAATGGTCGTCGTGAAAGTGAAGATTTAATTCTTTGACTTGAGGTTATCAGAATGACGAGTGTACGGTGTGGGATTACAGTGGCAAAGCTTGCACAGGCTGTTCGATCAACAAAATTCCAGCAAGGTAAACACTATTTATTGGGATTATTTGGTTGCTTTTTACAGTGTCATCAATTAGAAGTGTTTAGCATGAAATTGTAACCACCATTGACTATATCATACAATGAAATTGTACATTGGTGTTGAAGAATTGATAGTGATAATGTGAAGGTATTTATAAAGCTGAGACAAAGCATTGTGTTATTTCTATTTTGAAATTAGTAAAACACTTTAGTTAAAACGATATTCGTATCTCAGAGGAGTTTAATCTTGTGTATCTTTCACATAAGTTGTCTGTAGTGGTTGTTGATATTTTACGAATATTCAAAAAGGAGGCTGTAGTGTTTTGTGTGTTTTCAGTTTTTATTATTAATTTATCACGCCATGTTGCATTGTTTCCCATTATAGGTTATCAGCTGAGTGATTTAATGTCAGTATATATCATAGATAAGGTGGGCGCTAGGATATTTAAACATGAAATAGTGAGGTAATTATCCACTACAACGTGTTCTTGAGATAACTTAAAATTTGGAATAAGAAAACTAAATGTGAGGTTAATTTCTGACGTCATTTATATCGTCTGACAGGTCGTTGATTTTCTGTCTCAAATGTCATTATGTGCCATTAGAATGACATTATGGTAAAAGTAGAAGTGTACAATATTATGCACAATTAATTTTAATAATTTGTAATATCCTGCTCTCGCATATAATAAAAATGGATACTTATTTTATTTATTAACTTCAAAATTAGTTAACATTTTGCTTACTAGACTACCGATTTTTAATACCATTCCGACACTGGAAATTGTTGGAATATTGGAAATAAAAAAGATATTAATTTAGATCCAGACTATGTATTTTGAAGGGATATTCTAATAATATTTTGAAATTTACTTTCCGTATATATAGGTATTCTCAAAACCGAAAAATGACAAAAAAACAACACCATGTGTTATCAGAATGTAAGCGCATTATCAGACACTTAAATGACTGTTAAATTTCTAATTTTCAGACATAAAAAACGAACGTATCTTGGAAGTTTAAATAAATAAATAGATAAACATATAATAAGTTGATAGTAACATTTTCCATGGCGGTTGGCATTTTTACCAATTTGCTGCATTGTTGCCAGATTTATTTTCACACCAGAAAGCAATGTTGTAAATTGATATTCTCCTTAATGATGCTCAGGAACCAGCAGTTTCAAAACAAAAATTTTTTAGGAAACTATAGAAAATATGAAAGTTTTAAAATTATCAAAAATAAATAAACCTTCGATGAAATGAAGATGTTACCAACAGGAAATGTTGCACATAGAAAAATTGTACAAATCTAATTGTAGCAACTGTAATTGCAGTCATTGCCGGGTAATTGTAGTTTGACCAACCCGACAGTTTTTTTGATGAGTAATCGATTTAATTAACAACTATATGTAAACATTAAAGTACACAAATCAAAATACCTTTTATATTTTTTATGTGTTTGATCTGTTTTAACAGATCTCGAGATTTATGCGGTCTGTCAATAATAACTAAAATTGAAACGCAGATTTCAAACTAGAACAATCTTGGCTGCTGTGCAAAAATTCCTTTGGATGCATTTCTGTGCGCTTTCTATGCATTACTGAAGTGGTTTTCGTTGTCTTGGTTTGATTTTAAAATTTAAAAAAATGTCCACTTAGTTTAACGTGACAGCCTTTATTTAAATGGGCGGTTTTTTTTAATTTAAAATAATAATGCATACCACCGAGAGAATAATAATAATGAAAAACACGTCAACGGCAGCTCTGGATTTTTGAAGATTTGTCTTTGATAGAATTTTCGTGTTGTCAGATTACTGTCAATTGGGAAGTTTGAGATTAATAGTAAAAATTTTTCCTATCATCTTCACTATGAAATGTGAAAATTAAAGTTTGCCTGGTATCTTTGGCAAGGTTTGTTTTCTGCATGAAGCTCCACCCCTTGGCTCATGACAAATAAAAAATCATCACAATTGAGATGAGGGCGGGTGGGCGTTTTTGTATTTTGACTTTTTTTTAATATTTGTACGTAGTTTTCCTTTCATGACAAGAAACTAAAAATATTCGTAAATATGGTAAATTTGTAGAGAAGAGTGGGGGAAAATAGTTACCATTTTAAACATGTTTTCAATTTCTTGTTGTGAAAAGAAGACTATGCATATTAAGAATAAAAAAAAAATGCAAAACGTAAGCCCCACCCTCCCGCCCTGACTTAATTGTGACGATTTTTCCTTATTTGTCGTTAGCCAGGAGGGGCGGGGCTTAAGTTTAGTCTTTTTTTCCTGTAGATACGAAATCCTCTTTTCACAAAATATTTAAAACATATTGAAAATGGTAATTTTTTGTCGGGAAATATCCATTTTACAATTAAGCTCCGCCCCTCGCTCTGACAACGAATGAAAAATTCATCACATTTGAGGTTAGGGCGGGTGGAGGGGGCTTATTTTTTGACAGATATAGTTTTCTTTCAACAACATACTTAAACACATGTCTCACATGGTAGATTCTTGTAAAGAAATAAGCATTTTGCAGTTAAACTCCGCCCATCGGCTCACGACGAATAAAAAAAATGATCACAATTGAGATAATGGCGGGCGGGCGGAGTTTGTATTTTGCTTTTTTTTTTAATATTTGTACGTCGTTTTCTTTTTATGACAAGAAACTAAAAATATGCAAAAAAAATGATAAATTTGTAGGTACGAGTGGGGGATAAAATTTACCATTTTAAACATGTTTCCAATTTATGGTTGTGAAAAGAAGACTATTATGCATATTAAAAAGAAAAAACAAATGCAAAACGTTAGCTCTCTTTGATTTTGTTTTTTATTTCGGTGTATAAAGCGCAGTTCTTAAAAACATCCGTTTCCATCTTTTTCGCGAGTGCGTGTGTCCCCTAAAGATTAAATATATTTTCTTTATAACAATATTATATTCTGTATTACAAGAATAATTCTGTATTTTTAATTAAATTGTTATTTATAAGATATATATTTTTTTATTGTGCAATAAAGAAAAGTATATACATTTTTCTCATTTACAATTGGCTATGTTACTTTAATAGTTACCATCCCTATAGAAAAAACAAAACACCAAGTTTAAATAAATAGTTAAATTAAATTATCAAATTTACGAAGGTTAAATGTATTTTATAAGCACGAAAGCAGCAAAGCATTGGTAATTTTACCTTTTGAGTATAGTAAACCTATAGTGGGTGTATGATGAATCTGTGTATTTTTTTTAATTACGTTTTTCTGTTATTTATCACAGTAAAATTCGATGTAAGATATAGTGCGGTTGCTATTTAACTTGCGGTAATTTTTACGAGTTCGTCAGAGTGAGACCATTAAATCCGCTTGCCTGGGAAAACCTCCTATTGTAAAAGTAAACAATAAAAAGTTTTTCTATAAGACACGTGACCTACCTGTCTGCGTAAAGTGCCATTTCTTGTATTTAGTTAATTTTATGAGGGATCCAAAATCGTAAACACACTACATCTTGTTTACAAAGTTTAATTAAACACTCTTGATCCTACCAATGCAACTTTTATTATACTAGTGTCTGAATTTGTTAAAAAAAAAGTTTCCCTATTATCTACACTGCATTGCATTGAAATTTTCAACGGGCGAGGTTTTTTATTGGAAATTTTAAAGTTGATCTCTTTCAAAAATAATTTTTGAAAGAGAAACTATGTGGCAACAAGGTTGTCTTTGATATAGTGCAGATTCAATGTATATCTGTGTGTTGTTTCAAAAAATTTTATTTGAGATAGATTCTCAAATATGGCGTGGTAAATAGCAAAAAACATGACTTTTGGAAGTTTTAATAAATAAAACTAGAATTTTGAATTTTATTATAGGGTTGGTATTTACGTCGTAGGCGCACTAAAAGAACCCCTTCATAATTTAATCTCAAAAATAATAATTTCTATTATTTTTGTAGATACAACGTTTCGATAAAGTAAACACTATTATTTTTTTGTTCCGTTTTATTAACTTATCTAAGTAGTTCAGTACGCTTTATTGTAAATATTTTACAAAATCACACCGATTATTATCGAGTGCAATTAAGTTTACGTGCTGTAGAACTTTGCAAGGCCGCCGTTGTGCAACACAAATAAATAAAAAGAAGTAGGTTAAACACCTTGAAAAATATTTATTATAAATAAAATAGAAAACGATGCATCAGATTGGACGGTGATATTTCGGGCTATCTGTTCGAGCGAAAACCTTTTTCGTGTAAAACAAAAATACATATTCCGAAAATTATACATATTCATACTAAAATGCATTTACCCGATTCCACGACCTTCATTAGACCGGATCCTCCATGGTTCTTGGAAGGATTGCAACAACTAGATCAGACCCAAAGGTCATCCAAAGGACCTTGTAACGTATGAATTTTAGTAAGTTGTCATGAAATATGTAAATCAGGTACCGTACACACTCCTCGTGTAACGTCTACTCATCGCGCCAATGCGTTGTTGGCAAGGTTTCATTTGGAACAAGACGTGTTTTGATTTTATCTGCCAATTTTCCAATAAATACTGAAAAACTGTTTAGCAAAAAGAATCACAGTATTGGAATTGGGTTAGTGAACTTTTTGATCAAGCACAATGCGTTCAAGTTTGCACCCTGGACCGGTTTCGGAACTACGTGGACAAGTCAATTAGCAAGCAATTTAAAAGATATACAGATAAATTTTCGTTTTAAGTTTTTTTTAATCATTTTAAATATGTCATTTCTACGCTGATTACAAATCAGGACCTAAAAATATGTGTAGATAAACTATTTTATTTACTCCTAGTCAATGAGGAAATCTTTTTTTGTATAATCCAAAATTAATACCTGTTACTATAAAAATTGTCCAGCATAAGTGTCTTTTGATAAACTCTGTTTGAATTTTCTTCGCACGTCTCCCTGAATGTTTTAAAATTCCACGAAAATCCCCCTTTTTCAATCTTCTTGAATTCATGTTTGTATGATCTGGTATATGTACTAAATTTGCACTTCTTCTGTCTCTTTATTCTCCTGAATTTTTTTGGTGTCTAACCAAATTTAAACTCCACGTGTTTCTCAACCATAGCAGAACGTTCTCGGGGTCTTTCCTCCATACAATATTAAAAAGGAAAGAGGTCTTTATTAACAGCTTTTCTTCCATATTTTTTCAATATTGAATCACTCATTCTCGATATGTATGAATTAACTCTGACGTTGGTTTACTATAGGTATTTTAACTGCAATCTACAAACAGCCCTCTCCACCACGACCCCTCTCGACATGTGTCATCCTACTAAAATCGGCAGGCTCCGGGGAACCCCCTACAGGCACCCAACCCCCTTCGAAAGACGTATCGGGGAGCGATAGTGGCGGCGGTGGCGGTAAAAACAAAAACACCTTATCCTGCCCGAAATGCGGTGACCCTTGCACACACGTAGAGACATTTGTTAGTTCAACTAGATTCGTTAAGTGTGAAAAGTGTCATCACTTTTTCGTTGTACTAAGCGAAGTGGACAGTAAAAAGAAAGAGGGCGTTGATCAAAAGCAAGGTTTCTTTAGAAAGCCACCGCCGCCACCGAAGAAGATCTATGATTATCTTAATAGACATGTAGTGGGGCAAGAATATGCAAAGAAGGTGAGATGGGTAGTAAATAGAGAGTTAAGGGAGGAATCTTTTTCGTTGTAGGTATTATCAGTGGCTGTGTACAATCATTATAAACGGATTTATAATAATACTCCAAATGGGCAAGGGAGCGGGAGCTCTAGGCAGGATGTGGCTGTTATGGAGCAAGGGATGCACCAGAATGTCACACATAGAGGTATTGTTATTTACAATAGTCGGAAGTAATAAAAGATTTTGTTGTGCGGAAAATTTCAATAAAATCTGTTATTATTATTGTCTAAATTACCTTAAAAAGTTTCATTAATTCCGCTTAATGAAATTTTTAAGTTGTTTGTGTTGTATGACTGTGCAGATCTTCTTCATATAACAGGACTGGGGCACGGTTCAATCGGTTCAAATTTATCAGGGCAAGAGTCACAAAAAGGCTCCGCTACAGGCTCTGAGATCTTAGACAGAACGACCCACGAACTGAAGTTAGAAAAAAGTAACATCTTGTTGCTGGGACCAACGGGATCTGGTACATCCAGGAATGTGTTGGTGTGCTTTTTTCGTCATTTTTGTGGTTTCAGGCAAAACCCTTCTCGCACAAACCATCGCTCAATGCTTAGACGTTCCTTTCGCTATATGCGATTGTACCACTCTCACACAGGCCGGATATGTAGGCGAAGATATTGAAAGTGTGATCGGCAAATTATTGCAAGATGCCGGCTTTAGTGTGGAGAGAGCTCAAATTGGTATTGTGTTCTTAGATGAGGTGGATAAAATCGGGGCTGTGCCGGGAATACACCAACTGAGGGATGTTGGAGGTGATTAAGTTATTATTTGCAAATCAGTTTTTATGGGTTGGGTTGTAGGAGAGGGGGTTCAACAAGGAATGTTGAAAATGTTGGAGGGTACTGTGGTCAATGTGCCTGAACGAAATTCGCCGAGGAAGCTTCGAGGCGAAACCATACAAGTAGATACCACCAATATTTTATTCGTTGCTAGTGGCGCTTACAATGGGTTGGAGCGACTAATTCAGCGTCGAAACAACGAAAATGTAAGTATATTTTTATTTTCAAAAATATTCTAAAGTATTTCTTAATTTAACTTAACTCATTAGTTCGTAATTTCCTTCAATAATAATTGAAACACATTCTCCTTTCTACGCTTAAAAACTTAGTCCTTCAGATATCCTAATCTATAGAGAAATCGAGAGGAGTGTAATCTAGTGAACGACCGACCTGGCCATGAAATATTTGTTCCTTTTCCCGCTCCGCCCTCCAGAACTGTAATTACAATGTTACATATCGCCAATTGTAGACAAAAACCCATCTTCTTCTCATTTCTTGCTGACTGTTAAACACGTTTTTCAAAAAAGTGAACACCATCCTAAATTAATGTTTTAAGTACCTCGGTTTTGGAGCTCCCGTTTCCAGCGGCCAAGGAAGACGGGCTGTTTCCCAGCAGGCAACTCTCTACCAGTCTTCCCAGAGTGCGGAAGAAGAAAATTTGGAGAAGGACGCAGCTTTGAAACAAGTGCAAGCGCGGGATCTCATAGACTTCGGGATGATACCTGTATGTTTGTACCACACAACGTAAAAATAAATTTTCAAATTTCGAAATTCTAGGAGTTCGTCGGAAGATTTCCAGTCTTAGTGCCCTTCCATAGCCTTAATAAAAATATGTTAGTTCGAATTTTAACGGAACCTAAAAACGCTCTACTGCCACAATACCAGCGCCTGTTGGCGATGGATCAGTGCGAACTGACCTTTACTCCAGAAGCTTTAGACGCTATTGCGTCTTTAGCGATGGAAAGGAAGACAGGGGCTAGGGGTCTTCGAGCTATTATGGTTAGTTTGTTGTTGTGTGGTTTAAAATTTGTTGATTTGTTTTGTGTAGGAGTCGCTTCTTCTGGAACCGATGTTCGAAGTTCCGGGCTCCGGAATTAGTGCGGTTCACGTCACAGAAGAATATGTACGAGGCGAAAGCGGTCCTATTTATGATAAGAGAAGGGATATCGCCGCCACCGAAGTGAACGAAGAAGACGATGTTAACACATCTATTAGAATAAAGCAATGATGAAGGCTTCCCTCCGGTAGTACTATTTGGCGCTTTTATACATAAATCGAGAGTTCTTTTATTTTTAATCTGATTTGAGTTATAGGCAATACTTTGGAGTACCCACTTGTAATTTCTGACGTAAAATATAGACTTTATGATTTTATTTATGTCAGTGTGTATATAGTTTTAATGTAGCTGTTCCTATTAGGAAATATTAAAGAGATTAAAAGGTGAAGTTTAGCAATTTATCGTGTACATAATAAAGGTTGATCTTGTTCATGAATATTTATTTGTAATAAATTTTGTTGTACAACTTTGCTACGGCTGAGTGTTTATGTAGCCAATTTGAACTTCGGCCAATTCCTGGCTCTCCCGCAAGAAGTCCTGCCTGAAAAGTTCCAACAGTTTTCCTTTTCTTGACTGAAATCCTGTGGTAGTTAATGTAAATTAGTGGAGAAACTTACTTTAAGACGTGTCTTGTTCAACGAGTAAAGTTCTTGTCGCATTTGGAGGTAAAACGAATTTAAGCCAGTGTGACAACCTGGGGCTATGGTGATGTCGGGGTAATACTTGCATTTCATGATGTAATCGTCACTAAAATTTTAGTAAGAAACATATTTTTTCCTGTAAGGGGCATATACATTTTTTGAATAACTTCGGCATTTGTTGTGGGTGGTTTGGACTCCATTGTTGGTCTTTAAGGTACAAATACAATGAAAAAAATACAACTTATGGCGTGTTACGAGATGGACATGTCATTAAACACAAATTGTAACGTTTTTGACATTTTCAAATTCTCAAAAAAAGTCCAAGCTTTCAAAATTACTGTACCTATGACATTAGGTGTACGTTTGTTAACCTATGTATTGTCATCCAAAAAAGGTGAAGGAAATATTCTTCATTCTGAATAGAGAAAAATCTAAAAACCAGAGCAAAAAGACCCTTCCACCTTTCAGATTTGAACGTCGTAAATTTAATCACACAAAAAAGAGAGAAATTTGAATTAAAGTAATACTATGCTAATACTGTGGTGACCGAATTTAAATCAAAATTTTCGCGCTGAAATTAATTAACAGCGGCGCGAAATCACATTTAAATAATTTGAATTTGAGAAAGAAAAAAAGAATTCAAATCATAAATCGTTTAACATCGGCAACCAGGTGCACGGTAACGCTTGCTGGATAGGTGGACAATTAGTAGCGCTAGGAATTTTAGTTAAAGGGTTGGTTGTTAGACAGAGGGCGGCATGGCGAAACGTCAGTCTGAATGTGTTTTTGTGAATGTAAACACGTGGTAAGAGCTAGTTTAAATTAGTTGGTTTGGTAGTTGATAAAAAGGAAGGAAGCCTTTGTTTAACGAAAATTAATCGTAACGATGACGACACAGTTTTCCCCCAACAGGTGTAGCTAAATCAGCAAATGTGCTGCAGAGGACATTGTAACGAGAGTGGAATTTAAGTTCTTCGTCATAGTTTATTAAAAAAACCTGTCGCCTATTAAATATACCTTTTAGCCCGGCTTCGCAAAACAGCAAACTGTTACCAAACTGGACGTTTTACGCTGACACCGGTCTCCCCATGAAGTTTACAATTTAACATTTATCAGGTCAAATCACTTGAGAGAAAACCATCAGCTTTAACTTGAAGCCCTATGTTTTGTCCGTTGGCACGACGAAATCTTGTGCTTTTTCAATTAAACTTCAAACCATTATGTTTTTCGAACTTACAACGATATCGGGAAAAGCACCAGATTACCAGGCAAGAAGCAAGCTACATTTAATTACGCCACACTATAACGAATTTTAAACAACATTAATTCAAGTTAATGATTAAATCAAAATGACTCCACAAATATGACATCGTCGTGGACTGAAACTAAACCCTATATCACATACAAATAAAGCAGATATGAAATAAACACAGCAGAAAAAATCAAAATTAGGTTTTCTCGGAAACATTTTACTCTAAAACAGCGGGTTCAAAAATAAATGTTCAAGTTATTTTTAACCGCAAGAAAATGAAAATTTCCAAAGACCTTTCTTTCAAAATAGATCAACATTTAAGATTAGTTTAAATGTCATTAATGAACTATTTTAAGTCTTGGGTTAGAAGTTATGAAGTGTGAAAATTTAATAACTTCAATAGGTATCCAGAAATTTATACATCATTGGTTAATGGTTATACCCGAATAAATAAATTTCCTGCTTCCTGTTTACATTTTATAAAATTTTATATGTTTGTGGCTAAATTGTATTAAAACCACATGAACAGCCAAAAATTTTAACATGAACTGTGAATTTAAAAACAATAAAACAAAATTTAACACGTGTTTAACAAATTCGCCGAAGTTTTACACCATTTCAGATTAGAAAATCGCTAACTAACTGATCTTACACTAATTACAATCGATGAACGAGGACCGTGGCAATTAAAACCCAACAAAAAATGACCCTTTTAAAGACTACCTCCGTTACCACCCCCTAAACTATCAACTTATCAGAACGGATTTCCCTGATTCCTTAGACACTAATACATAGGTGATTGCCAGCATCATTTTCGGGTTAAATATATAATAATGTAGTACTTGCTAAGATAAGACTGATTTTGGCAGATGAAATATCCTCTAAGAAAAGGGAGGGTGGGTGGGCGGGGCTAGTACCTGCTACGATAAAACTGACTTCGGCAAATGACATACCCTCTAAGAAACGAAAGAGTGGGTGGGCGGGGCTAGTACCTTCTAAAATAAGATCGATTTTGACTACTAACTACACACTAAAAGCTCAAAAGATTTTTTCAAGTTCATCCAGCAACAAAACACTAAATTTAAATTTATCCGAAATTAAAACACTCACTTTTCGGACAGAAAAATTGTCTCTAACCGAAATTAACTAAATATTCTATAAATTCTTCCAACTCTTCTAAAATTCCATCGAACTTTTGATTTCGGTCTGCAGTTCTAGCTCTACAAATAACTTTTAAACAGATATGACGTTTAGCATACATAACTCCGATGTCTGTCTTTTTCTTGTGCCTAATTTGTAAACCCAAATTAATTCATCTTCATCTTTAGTCAGTAAATTTTCCTCCCATACCTATTAATTTCATCAAGTCCCACGACGTACATTATTTACACTACCTATTCTGTTTTGCTGTAAAAGATCAGTAGGTAAGCGAAGAAAAATGTTGCTGTCCCGGTGGGAATCGAACCCAACGTCTCCCACTTGCCAGGCGGGTGCCTTTACCACTAGACTACAAAGCTGCTTATCTTTGTTCGCTTACTACTATTATTATTGTGCCGCCACAGATCTCTGATGAGACGATAACGAAGCTATATGTTCTGACTTATTCCCTTCTGGCATACTTTAGGCATGTAGAGCATCTAGAACCGATCGCTTCACTTGACTAACTATGTTCTCAATTCGTTCCATCTTCGTTTGCCATACTCTCTCATTCTTTCTTGTTATTCTCCATTCGCAAATAGAGTTCATCTTCATCAGTATCTGCTAATAACCAAATATGGCGATTTGGAATGTTACGGCCTGAGTGGAATTCAAACCCAAGTCTCCTACTTGCTGGACGGGTATACTCACTATTATAACTACTATCAGGCTTGTGATTATCTCTCCTCATTTTCCACATTGTATTGTATCACCACATCGATATTCTGGAGTCTTCAAGGTGTTCAGGATTACGACCGAACTGGTGTATCATTGCTTTGAATTCTTGTAGCATTTATTTATGTTCATTTGTTTCTATTTTTCAGTTCGGCTCTTCTTTTATTTAACATTTGTGTTCTTTGTGTGTCTAGTTTTCACTTTTCTATTATTTCTGATTTCTGATTATTTCAACATTTTTAATGTTTGAGTTTTTGCCGGCGGCCCTCACAAAAATTGCCGCTTAGGTCCCGGACTTGTGAAGGGTCGCGTCGGGAACTAACAAGGGTAAATTAGCACGTGAGGCGGGTTCACTCCATAGCTAATCTATTAATAAGCAAATACACTTTAAACGAGACAGAACCGTTAAAATAACTTATTCGTTCCCTCCATGTCCGCAACTAAGACTGCGGAAAGATGAAACGTGATTAAAGACAAGGATAAGTGACAATAACAAAATATAGGAGAACAGAGAGTTGTGGAGCGTCGAAAGGGAATCTGGGATCAATCTAACCATTCGTATTAATTATTATTATTATTATTATTATTATTATGAGTAATCCCTCAACAGGCTGAGAGCCCAATTACTGAGGAATAAAAACTAGAAAATAAAGGCAAAAACAACTAAGTTATTATAGAATTAGACACTGAAAAACTGCTTAATTTTTGCTGGCGAAGTACTAAATATATCAATTTCCGATTCCACCTCTCTATAGTTTTGAAGCATTTGATATACTGGAGACGATTTCAATATGTTTGTTCTTGGGACAGGCATATGCAACAAAGAATATGATCTTAAACCTGGTTTTAGCACACGTAGCTTTAGGATCTTAAGAAGATTGTAAGGATCCAATTCGAATTTTTAAATTTCAAACGAATTCCGCGCGCACAAGAAACGGTTAGTGAGAAGAAGGAGAGGTTGGCAACCAACCACCCCAAAGAAACAGACGTGCGCAAAGCGAAGGTGGTATTGTCTTGAGAGATGAGTCACTTCGCTTTGACCGCTTGGAACAAACGGTCGATTTTCTTTCGAGCGCTTCGAGCAACAGGTTGTATTTTTGATTGTGAATTATTCTGTGCCTTTTGCTGTTGTTTTTGCGTTTCCAGTGTTGGTCCGTTCCATTGGAAAACGTGGCAGCCCCCGTTGAGCCATTGGGTGTTCCTGATTTCTCACCGTTCTTACGACGAGGTTTTTGTGTTCCTTTTGGCGGTAAGCCGTGTCGAAATCTTCGCATCTTTGGAGAGGTATGTTTTGAACACCTGTTTCGCCGCGAGTTTCAAGTCCCGACGATACTTCTGACCTCGTGACGCAGCGACGCGTGCGCTTGTTTTTCCACTAATCTCGTTTTTTTACCTTTCATTTAAAATCCATCGCAGTAGGGCTTTACAGGAAGTGATTTCTAGTTCGGGCCATGCTTTATTTAGCTATATTTGTGAAATCTGTATTTTGGATGGCGGCAAACGAGTTGTTATTTTCACCGTTCTTTGTTCAGGCAGCGGCCATTTTGAAGCGTCC